ATCCAGCTCTACACCTTGTTATCTCAGATTCTCCAGCATCTGCAGTTCCTACTATCTCTGCTCAAGTGTTCTGTTCTTCCTCAACCTCATTTATTGATCATAGTTGCTTAATGCGCAAGTGCAGACTCTGCCTTTTAGAAGTACATTTAGGATATGTGTATAGTTTAATACTATACTTGCTCATAATGCATTATGCACTGAGACTGTTCGGTAGTTGTATGTTTAGGGTATTCACTGCTGGTCAATGTGTTCCTTTAAAATTGCTGGAGGAGCTGCCTGCTCAATGTGTGCAGTTTTCAAACAAGAATACAACTCCATCTGTTTTTGTCTTTAGTTACTTGAAAGAAATATTCCCTCTTTATTCCCAGTTTATTTTTCTTCCCTTTGAAATTGGCCTTACATAAATATAAATGTGTGATTCACATCTCTTCCCTCACCCCCTCAAACCTAATTTCAACCTTATCACATGGGTTACTATTCGCAAAACATCTTGCCAGATTGCAAATTCATTCTGGGTCATCATCACTAAATCTGGCACAGCCTATTCCCTTGTCAATTCTAAGAAGTGTATTTTCATCCAAAGATTACTTAAGTACAAAAGAAGGACATGCATTTGTGAACCGAAGCTGTGCTTTGAACAAAAGAACTGTTGCAGCACCTCAGTTGATGAATGCCTTTGCACCTTCGCTGAAGCAGTATTAAACAGCCGTTGTTCTTTCTGCTAAAGCTTTTCTCAGTGGAATTATTTTCAGTCACAAGCGGCGTTCTGTGTTGTCTCAGGTCAGCTGCAGTGCTGGGGAAAATGATGAGTCCACCCATCAATTCATCAATAAATGCTGGCCTCGCCTGTACGACCCATATTCCATGAACTAATAGCAAAAAAAAATTCCTCATTCTGCTGAGCCATAACTCAGGCCTCTGTAAGTGCTCAGGGAAGGAAAGTGTGGATTAGAGAAATATAGACAACTATGTACTAAATGCACTCACATCCCTAAATTAGCTGATCCAGCACAGACCAAGCCTCAAACCTTGGTATGCCTGTCTATACAGTTTAAAATAAAATTAGCTGATGCTCACAATGCAAACGGACAGTTATTTTCCTAATCAACCTGTTCAAAGATGTTATTAGACATCTTTAGAGTAGGTCGGACTTGAACCTGGCTATCATTGTAGGGATACAATGCAATCAGACAGAAAGAACATATAAATGCACTACACCCGTTTCAACTTAACAAACTGGATGGCAATTATGCACTTGTTCATTTCTCCGGTGATAACTTGACTAATCAGAGTCATTTAACATTTAAACAAAGAGGCTTGGCCATTAGCTATCAATCACCATTAACTGGGGAATTCTCCAATGGCAACACCGTTACTAATCAACACTGCCACCCCTTGGCAACCAATCAGCACTCTCCTCTCATATGGTGTTTTCCCTGCGCTTTGGTCAATTCGGTCTATTGCCCTGATTAGTACAAAATGAAAAGTTTCAACAAAATGTGCCTTTTTTCAGAAATAGTCAACTTCAAATATCATTGAACAGCTAAAAAGATAGAAATCTGCAAAATGGGAGTGGCTCAGCATTAACCTTCAATTGAGGAATTTGTGCATAATCGTTTGTTAAAACAAGTTGTGCTTCAGGTTGGTAGTTCTATCTGTATTAGTACAAAGTGTAGACACTTTGTGATTTTATTGTATGCCACAGGTACAGGCTTATCTTGTAAAACAGAGGCAACAAAGACTGTACAGATTGAGGGGAAAACCAAATTTCAAGTCATTCCTTAGCACAAATCACATTTCAAGTCCACTGTCAATCCCTGTGCATGATGCAGCATTTTTGCAAAAACAATTCCATTTGAGACCCACTGACCTGGTCATTGTTGCCCTGTGTGTGCTGGGGTAGTTGGCACAATGTTGTAATCCTCTCTGGGCTGTTCTTCCTGTAGCCAGCAGTCGGTTTGTTCCTAGTTGTGTGCAGGTGAAGGATACTGTTGGTCTCTTCCACAAACCGGGCTGGAACCAGCCCCAATTCCCCATTCACTTCAGCAACATACATTCCATGCCTGTCTGGGTCCCCACTGACAAGCACTACATCCCCAACAGAAAGAGGCAGCTAGCATGGAGAATGTAAACACATTAGTGTGGGTCTTATAATAAAGGTTACAGCTATCTCAATTCAAATATATTCCATCCTTCAGCATTAATCTTAGGACATCAAAGATATGTAGTACCATCCACTGCCTTCTTTTGAAGGAATAACGCCCTTTAATGATTCCTGAATGGTTGTCTCTACCATTCATGATAAAAAAAATAACCTCCAGTCTCAGAATAGCAATGCAATGTGGAGTCTAGCTGTGGAATTGCGCGCTGCAAAGTGAATAGTTCATATAGGCTTCTAAACATTGAATATAGGATTTTCAAAAATTAGATTGGAAATTTATTTTTCCTGACTCCGATCCCGTGAAAGGTCACTTTGTGCTGGTAATGTTGACTCTGTGTGAGAGAGAGCAAGAGAGCAAAACATGTGCCATTAAATCAGCCATCCATTAAACATCTCTCCCTATTTCTGATCAGGTTACTGCCTATTTACACAATTGCCCAAAGTCAAAATTACCTCCAGTGGGTCATTAATAAGTCATAAGTTCTCATAATTGTGGACCTTCATTTATTCAAAGCAAGGCTTTAAGGAGAGAGTGCGGGCAGAGTAGGATTAATGAGTGGAGTGTTGTTGTGAATGACGAGCTGAGCTGTGTGCAGATCTGGACTTTCAGCACTAGCCCAACTTGCTGTAGATAATGGATGAGCTTCCTTGATACATGGGCATTCAGAAACTGAGGGTAAACCTGAACAACGCAGCTATGGCAAGATTTGTGGCAGAACTGGGCACAAAATCTGAGGAGGTCTTTGGTGATGTTGCGGGCATCCCACTCTGCCTTTTATGCATCTGCCAAGCAGTGAGGTGAGTATCTCACTAGGGGCAGCAACAAGTTGGCAATTGAGGGGAGGTTACAGCTTGTTGAATGCCTGTTTATTATTGGCAAAACTTGCCTCATGAAGATTCAGCTTCCCATCTTAACAAACAAGCTAGATGTCAAGAATTTATGACAGGGGAGGGTCAGAGCAGGCACTTGGTGACTTCAGCTCACAAACACAGCAAGATAAAGGCACCAAGGTCATGGGGCACCGGCCACATGCAACTGATGTCCATGGTCACTGGCATCAGACATGTGCCAGCCTCAAAGAACCCTCGTGGTACATCCCTGATCCACTAACAGTATTCTTCTGCACTTCGACGCTGCTCCTTTGCACTGCACACTGATAACTATCACTGTAATGCTACTGCAAGGACAGAGTGCCATCGGAGCCATGTGCCCATCTCATGGACTGAGCCAGGCCAAATAGATGGCGTGTGAAGTACCTGAAAGAAGACGATAGCACTTACACTGCCAGAGTGGGGAAAGTCACTGACCATCTCCCTCCCTTGCTGGGCATTCCCCAGATGGTTGAAACTGAACTAACCTGGATGGCAAGCTCAGAACAAACTGGCATGGTCTAGTATCGTGGCCTCCACTAGTGGTCCTTAGGGAAGAGGACCTCCTGGCTCTGAGCCACCCCAATCCAGAAGGACCTTCAGGTCTTTGCCCACAAAGCAGTGCACCAATTTGCCGCTGACTGGCACACCCAGGGCAAATGTCAGAGCAGCTCCGGACTGACAGTATTTGTCTGGGTGCACAACGGGCTTTACAAGATGGTGATCTCTCAGCAGATATCTGGTGAGAGACAAGTTGTCTGGAAATGGAGCCTGGTAAAATGGATATGGAATCAGGTGAGAATGGCATGACAGGAGTGCGATAGATAGTTAATGAGATGAGTTTGGTAAGATACAGCAAGAAATCCCCCCAAAAAACTTGATGCAACTCACACAGCCAAAATGTTGGCAGAAGATTCAGCCCCGAAGTTCACGTTAGAAAAAAGTGAAGTAGCACCAACATTTTAGTCTCACTGTGTTAATTAAAAGATGGCTTCTGTTTTCTCCATTCTTAAACATTACTAAAAGGCTACAAGTTGAAGATTTTCATCTTGTACTCATGAAAACTAGGATGCAAAATCAGTCAGCATTCTGTTCTCATTCTGTATAAAATGAAACATCTCTTCTATTGAGTCTGTTTTGTGTGTTCTAGCTCTGCTTAGTGCAAAATGAAAAGCTTAACTTCTAGTCTCTTATTAGAAATGTATAAGTTCTTTATTACCAAACATTCATTTCTCTATCTTTCAAATATAAAAACTTTTAACCAGAAGCTGTAATAATATGCTGAGTTGAATAGGGACAGATTATCAGAGGTCAGAAACCGAATTCTGGCTATATCAGCCAAATACAGGCAAAGCTAAAAAATGTAATTTGTTTTCGAGCAATGTCAGATCAAAAAAGGATGAACAGCTTAATCTTATCAAGGAAGGTTGAACAGGTTAGGCCATTTGAATTTTTAAAAATGTGATCTTATTGAAACATATGATTTTTAAGAAACATAAGGTGATTAGATAGGGTGGACCAGGAGAATGTTTCCTGTTGTGGGAGAGAGGGAAACCTGGTAACAGAGTTAATGTAATCTTATCAATCCCAAGGAGGTGACTGCAGAAGCTCTTAAACATTAATTTCATGTGTAGATTGATAGTCTACACCATTGATTGCCAGTCTATCAGGAATTTCTCATAAAGAAATGTCATAGATTTATTACCTCAAGACTCTGATCACTGATGCAGTTCAGCAAATGAACAAGGGGCTCAGTTAGCTGAGTTGGCCAGCAATGCAGCGGGATGCCATAGGTGTGGATTCAGTTCCTGCACCAGCTGAGGTTACCGTGAAGGTCCTGCCTTCAACAACCTTACCCCTCATCTGAAGAGTGGTGACCCTCAAATTAAACTCACCACCAGTCCCTTCCCCCACTCCCTCCCTCTCTCTTCCTCGCTCTCTCTCACACGCTCTTTCTCTCGCTCTCTTTCTCATGAGACAGCAACCTCATCGTCCTCTGGTACCATGGTATTGTCACTGGACTAGTAACTTCGAGCACATGTACGAATCCCAACGCGACAGCTGGTGGAATTTCAATCCTATTATCAATGGGCCAGAGCGGTGCTGCATGACTCCAAATAAAATGAACTTAACTCGGCTGCCATTGGTACTGATTCATAACAATACACTGGATAACCTTTGCTTGTTTGGTTAAGAAATTGTCTGGTTATTGGCTTGCTAGTTCACTGCAAGGTACAGCATTTATACAAGTCAACTTGCAGGATGGCATGATGGCTCAGTGGTTAGCATTGCTGCTTCACAGTGCCAGCAACCCAGATTCAACCCTCTAAGCCATCTATGTTTAGAGGGGATTAGATCCGGGGCAGTTGGTAGAATAGTTAAGAATGCACGCAGGATGCTTGCCTCTATTAGTCATGGCATAGATTATCAAAGCAGGGAGGTCATGTTGGAGCTGTACACAATTTTGGTTAAGCCATAGCTGGAGTACTGTGTGCAGTTCGGCTCATCACGCCATAGGAAGGATGTGATTGCACTGGAGGGGGTGCAAAGGAGATTCACCAGGATGATGCCTGGGATTTCAGCAACGAAGAGAGGGTGGATAAGCTCGGGTTGTTTTCTTTGGAGCAGAGAATGTTGGGGATGGACCTGACAGAGATGTATAATATAATAAGGGGCATAGACGAGGTGAATGGAACGCAGCTGTTCCCCTTAGTCAAAAGGTCAACAAAAAGGAGGCACAATTGAAAGGCAGTAAGTTTACAGGGGACTTGATGAAAACCTTTTCCACGCAGAGGACGGTGGGGATCTGGAATTCACTGCCCGGGAGGGTAATGGAGGCAGAAAACCTTACAAAAAAATACTTGGATAAGCACTTGAAATGTCATAACATTCAAGGTTATGGCCCTAGTGTCGGTAGTGGTATATCTTTGGCAGCACATACACAATAGGCTGAAGGGCCTCTTTTGCACGATATGGTTCTATGACACCAACATGATGCTGGCAGGAGAAAAACATTGCTGCTTCCCGGCTGAAGGGAGATGGCATAAAGTGAAAGGCCTCATGCTTATGGAGGAGTGAGCAAGATAAAGAGCAAAGAAATCCAATCCCAAAGTGGCAATTACTTACCACTGGCAGCACCGTGTGTGGCATGTTCGAATAAGGGCGATAATCCGCAATGGCTACGTGTGGTCTGTAAGTTAAAGCTGCACTGGAATCCAGTAAAGCTTGTCTTTCATGAAACAGAGAGCTCGGAAACCAATGATTCAAGCCTAAAATTACGAAATAATTCAAAATTAAACACAAACTCAAGGGTTTTCTTCTTTTTATTTGAATTTTCTGTTAAAGATTTTACTGGAATTAGCATGGTATTAAGTTTCAGAATAAATAAGATACATTTATTTGTATTTTTTTTTTCTTTTGGCATTGAATAACATTGCTTTCACTTTTAAAACAAGTAAGTTATTATATTTCATGTGAACCAGTCTTTCAGTGGGAGAGACCGTGAGGAATCACATTGGGAGGTCTCTGGTGCCTCCTGGTGGCAGCCAAATGGAATATTGTGGCAACCTGAGAGTTGGTCATTAGCCCATTTAATAAACAGGTGTTGGACAGGAAATAGACAAGGAGATTAAAGATCAAATTGCGAACATCTTACTAATGTACATACCGATAAATAAACTTTTCAAAAAGGTCTATGTTTTGGATGTACACCTAGTGTAATGATATACAAGTTAAAAACATTTCTTTTGGAATGGCCGACAAGACCTGAAGGTATTGATAATGCAAGCAGAAGGGAACTGAACACCTGTCTGCACCATCCTAACTGGAATTAGTACAAAATGTCAAATATCAAGTAACTTTTAGGAATAATTTGGTACTTTTGGATATTACAACACATACACGTGTGCAAAATAGTGAAATTTCATTCTGATCAATATTTTTTGCTGGATCTGTCACTGAATACTTCTGGTCATTTTGAATTTCTGTTGCATATCAACGTCTTTACTTCTGCTCATGCAAATATCATATTAGGAAATGGAGTCTGATATATAAGTTTCAATCACAGTTTATACAGTGGGCTGGTTAGATCCATTACCTCAATGGCTAGTGTGTGGTTCAGAGTAATGCCAATGGCACAGGTTCAATTGCTGTTCTGGGTGAGACAGACTTGGGACCTGCCTCTTTGTTTGTCCCATGCTTGTTATGGTGTGGTGCTTCTCAAACTATATAACCAATTAGCTCTCTTTCTAGCAGACAGAGATATCTCTGATCCCTGTCTCTGATGACTAATCACTTACCAGCGCATCATGCAAAAATATAGCATTCAATTAATGAGTCAAAATGAATCAATGTGATCTCTACTCCAATTTTCTCCCTTTACTCCAGGTCTCCTATTGATGGTAGCTTGTATTAAGGTACAAGTCCTAACCTCCATGACATCACCTTCTGTGTGAGCCTAGAAAGCGGGTGTTACTGTGATATTCAGCTGCCTATTACACCAGAGATGAACATTCACACACATGTACTTTCTAGCAAAGATCACTGGACAGTCACCAAAAGCACAGATCACGACTGATCTTTCTCATGAGAACATGGGGATGAGAAGTTAAGAAAAGAATCCTCCACAGAGGGAAGTAAATACAGCTCCCCGAACACAACCTTTGGCACAAACTGTGGTTTGTGGTACCCGAAACTTCCCTGCCCTGTCCCGCCCAGTATCACGGTAAGTAATGGGAGTGTGAGATAACATTTTTTATTAGGGTAATAATACCTCTTTCTAGTGTTGAAATATTTTAGACTCCATTAAATGTTTTGGAAAAGCAAGTTTCTGTTTAACTAATTAAATATATAGATATTTGCTGCTTTTTCTGATGGAAAAAAATCAGCACAAGTGCAGCAGTAAGTGTCACCATGAGCTTCTGAAGCAATGAATCTAGAATATACATCTTAATTGCTTTAGACCATTCAGAGTATAGTGTGCATCCCATTTCAATTATACTAATGTCATGTTGTTTATCTTTTTCGCGAGTAACTCATAATATCAGTGTGACAACATACTTAGTGTGGAAAGGTACAGTGTACTGCATCTGTGAGGGTGATTCCCGATCTTTAAGAATCATTCCTGGAGATGGCCATTTGCGGGGCTGCACCTCAAGAGACTGAAGTTTTGGGGCATTAACGATCTGTAATGCTCTCACACGCCTATGCATGGGTGACTCCATAGAGGTCAGGCAGCCAGTCTTTAGGATTGAGAAATCGTAAATAATATGGTAATAACTACAGTAGGTAGAATAGTAACTAAAGTGGTTGGGGGGGAGGAAAATATTGATAAATTACAGCAGCACCGAAAACTTTTGAGATTTGTGCAAATTCCAATGATTTTCTCTGTATAGTTATGAGTGTGTGGCTGAGTCACTATCAACAGAGGAGATGATCTTTATCTAATGTCACTGTCAACCCTTTACTGACCTTGTTCTTGCTGAGGAGTTCCAGCAGGGACTGAATTAGTGTTCATGTTCCCCTAAAACAAAGGACCACAATCGAGTTATTTTAGAAGTGAAATTGCCATTTGGAGCAAGTTCCTGGGAGCTACTGTTTCAAACATGTGTCTTTTTAACTATCCAAATCCAACCCAAATTGACAGGATGCAACTATCAGGAAAGACAGAGCAGGATGTTATTCTTTTCCCCAAAAATGAGAGGTGAACCGAGGTTCAATGGGATTGATGTGGAGAAACGGTCTCAGGGTGTGTAGGGTACAGGTGGGCGTTTTGGGTCAGTGCTGGTGTGGTGGATATAAAATTAACCCTAACAGATTGAATAAAATGTTTAAGAGGCATTTGTTAACAGTGAGCAACAACTCACTGCCACATGGAACAGATATTATTGCTGCATTAAAGGGGGAGCTTGTATAAGACAAGGTCTTTTCCCCAGGGTAGGGGAGTCCAAAACTAGAGGACATAGGTTTATGGTGAGAGGGGAAAGATTTAAAAGGGACCTAAGGGGCAACTTTTTCACGCAGAGGGTGGTGCGTGTATGGAATGAGCTGCCAGAGGAAGTGCTAGAGGCTGGTACAATTACAACACATGAATAGGAAGAGTTTATAGGGATTTGGGCCAAATGCTGGCAAATCGGACTGGATTAATTTAGGATATCCGGTCGGCATGGATGAGTTGGGCCGAAGGGTCTGTTTCCGCACTGTCCAGATTTTTGGTTACCAGTGGAGTGGGCTCTTGGGAATGGTGTAAAAGGCATTTATAAAGATATACAATCAGCCATGACCATGTAGAATGGCGGGGCAGGCTCAATGGATTGAATGGCCTACTCCTGTTCCAATGTTTCTATATTTCAGTGAAAGTAAGGTCCTCAAAAACATTAGCCATGTTAAGGTCGACTCCTCAGCCTTTTTCCAAAATTGGGTCTCGAAAATTTGGATTTTACACAAGTACATACAGTAACTGACTATACAGCACTTTGGAATGCCTTGAGATTATGAAAGGCAGTGCATAAAATTCAAGCATTTTGTCAGTCACCTTACTTAAACAGAATGACCCTTTGCAGTCAATCCTCTAATCACAGTTCTGAAGTTGCTTCTCTACACAGCTTACTTCAGCCTCAATGCCTGTGAATTACTCTGTCTCTAAAGGTTAGGTTGACATTTTGGCGTATGATATTCTGTTGTTTTGTCCAACTGTTCACTTTGAACAGGCAGAGTCTTTGTTTAACAGCGCATCCAAGAAGGAGCGAGAAGCTGCAAGACAATGGGAGAAACAGAGAGAGAGGGAGAGATACAGATAGAGATTGATTGTGGTGAGGGAAGGGAGAGTCAGAGAGAGAATAGGAAGAAAGATAAAAAAAAAGCAAAGGTGAGGCCTTAAGGAAGAAAGAAAACTGATTCTAGACCAAGAGAAGGAGCACTGGGGACTGGGGAGGAAGAGCTGGAGTTTGGAACTGATCTGTTTAGGAACTGCAAGTTATATTTAATCAGGAAAAATAAATGCAGGAGCTGGAATCTGTGATCTAAAATGATTGAGTTGGAAAACAGTTACAGGATGCTCTTCTGCACTGAGACAAGGTCAAATTACTGACCCTTTTCATTAGCTAATGATTGTCTTCTCACTTGTACCAGAGGTCCCCTTCACTGATTAGCAGGACTCACTTCTCTTGATCAAAATCTAATTCACAATGTTTAGCAAGTGAACAGTTTAATTTACAGAGGGCAAAGATGTCCCATGCAGTGAGGGGTTCTGCTGGTTTTGAAAACGTCTTCAAAACTGAACACAAGTCTGATTCAGCTGCCATTTATGGCAGTCCTGCATTTCCTGCAGATACATCAAGGGGTGCATACATCACCAGTCTGTTCTGAGTTCATCTGAATGATTAACAATGTGATTCGGATTCTGACTAAATGTGCCCGGTGAAGAGGTGTTCCATTTATTTCCGATGACTTTTGACAGATTGCCAATGTTGCATCCATCTTCAAAACACGCAGATGACAAACTAGTGTGTCAGGATGTGTGATTTAGAATCCCTTCATTTTACTGTTAGGCTCCCCTGCGTAATGCAAACCATCACTTCTATGTCACATTTTGAAATGCACAGCCACAAGCTATTGAGTCGAAAACAATTACTCATCCAATCTCCATTCCACAGCTTTCCCCTCACCTCCCCCCACCCAAAAATAAAACCATCAGACCTTCCCATGTCTGAGCAACATCATTCAAAATCTGCAATGTGGAAACCACAGTATAGTTCCAGGTCAATGGGTTGAAGGTTAGCCCTGGTATTAGCCTGAATCAAAAGGAACTATCTCATGCTACAAGTATACACAGTATTGGCCTTTCTGCTGTTGCCACATTTGCAATTGACATTCATTTATAGCAAATGGTTTACAGAATTTAAATACCATTGCCAATATTACCTGACAGCAATTTGCTCCAAATGATGAACAGATATCAGTTTATTGGTAAAGTCCATTATAATGTAGCCATAAAGTGTGTGATTAAATCACACTAACCTATGGACCTGTAACATTAAAGAAACGCTAGTGCAAAATAACTGCAGCCAAATGAATTCAGGATGCACTCCTCGCTAATGAGGCTGCTAAAATATTACTTAGTACCATTCATCTGTTAATGACAACTTTGCACAGCACCTTCAATATGGTAAAATGTCCCAGGTTGCCTTATGGGAGCATTATCAGACAAAGTTCGACACAAACTGAAGATAAATTGGATTTTAAACTTACCTGCTGGTTGCCTAATGACAGAAAGGTGCGTGTATACTCCAGGATCGCAGTGTCATTCAGCATATCCTCAGCCTCTTCAATCAACCCCGTGTTAGTAAAGCCATGTCGGTAGAGTTCCCTCACCAGTTGTATAATCAGACTGTTCCTACGATGGCATTTCTGAATCAGGCAGGACAGTTTTGCCTATTTGAAGCACAATAAACAAAATGTTTTCAGCATTTAATGAGGGTGCTTTTCCACCCAGTTCCATGAGTAAACAAAGAACAATGGGGGGAATGGGAGAAGAGATCAAAATATTGGGAGAACATACTCACGAGGAAAAGCACTGAAAATAAACATTGAAACAATTTACTATCTCTGTATTTGAACCTAGCAAATTGGATAGCAGGATAAAACTCCTCAGAAATATAAATTACTTTTTAAGCTTAAGTCACCTTTAGTGGAGCTATCAGCAATTCAGCCTCTGTTTTCTTTCTTCCCAATTCTTCAAACTGAAATGGAACAAACACTGTCTTAAAGCAATAAATTTTGATTTATTTGCAACATTTCTACAGTGTTCCTGTTCTCCAGATATACAGCTGTAGGTATTGTAAACGAACAATGAGACAACCATGAATTCTGTCCAGAATCGAGAGAGAGAAAAGAGATTGCAGAGGAATGACTTCTGAGGAAATTTTAGAAAGCAAGAGATGGGGGAGGGAGAAGGATTTAACATGAAGATAAGTATATAAAGAGGCATTCAATAGAACTTTGTATATGTTGGTATTTCTGGAAAGTAGGGAGAGTAGTCATTAGGAATTGGGACAAGAAGAAGCTTCTTCACTCAAAGGGTTGTAAATCTTGGAAATTCTCTCTCCCAAAAGGTCATGGTACTCCATCATTCAATACATTTGAAGCTGGGATAGCAGATTTTTGGTCCCTCAGAGAACTGAGAGATATGGCAAATGGGCAGGAAACTGATGTTGAAGCTCAGGATCAGTCATGATCATACTGAATGGCAGAAAGAGCTCAATAGGTCATGTTATCGACTCCTGCTCCTATCTGTTCTGTTCTGAGGATGGTATACCAACTTGAAAAGCATTGAATAATCAAATGTGCGGGAAAAATAATTGCATGCACAAAGCTTTTAGCAACAGTAGCCTCGAGCTGGTGATGGAGAGAAGTCATGCTGCAGAGCCGGAAGGAAGCAACATATATATTGGCCGGATATTGAGGGGAATCTGCCAGCTTCTAAGACACAGAAAATGGCAGAAGGGGACCGATTGGAATATTAATTGGGAAACGCATTGTTAAGGCAGATTTTGTACTAAACCGTTGGGAAGTTACAAGCTGAAATCACTTTAGAGGGCGGCACAGTGACTCATGGTTAGCATGGCTGTCTCACAGCGCCAGGGACCTAAGTTTGATTCCAGCCTCCACAACTGTCCGTGTGGAGTTTGCACATTCTCCCAGTGTCTGCGAGTTTCCTCTGGGTGCTCCGGTTTCCTCCCACAGACCAAAGATGTGCAGCTGAGGTGGATTGGCCATGCTAAATTATCCTGTAGTGTCCAGGATGTGCAGGGTAATGGGTTAGTCATGGGAAATGCAGGGTTATGGGGATAGGGTAGAGGCGTGGTTCTAGGTGGGATGCTCTTTGGGGGGTCGGTGTGGACTCAATAGGTCGAATGGCTTGCCTCCACACTGTAGGGATTCTGTGATTCTATGCAATCAGTCATCAGTCAGCAAAGTAATTGGTAAGAACACCTCTTTGGCGTCTGTGCAAAAATTGTGATTGCCTCTGTCAAGAGGGTATTTCCAATTTTGTTACAGGTAGACCACAGCACAAAATTGACCCCTGATAATCAACTTGCATTAAATCTGCTAGAATAAGAAGGGTGAAATAAAATGCAGTACACAGCGGGTCAGATATTTGTAAAACCTGGTTATAATGTACTGGATCAGGCATTTGTCAGAAACCACAATCACAGACCTGGAGAGGGTAAATTCTAAAGTCAGAAGTTAAATCAGTTTTAATTGATTTGTGAAAAACCCGAGTTTTAAAAATACTTGAAATGCAAGATTTCCTCACATATTGCCATTTAATTGTAGTGGCTTGAATATGGACAGTCAAAAATCGCAGGTCTGTGATTGACAACATTAAATGATTCAACTTACTGCAGCTACCTCTTTTTTCATCACGCTGCACCTTGCTTTGAGATTATCCATATTTCTGTTGCGTTCGTTTAAAGCAGTAAGTTGATCTTTCAGTTGGAAGTTCTCTCTTCTTAGAGCCAGTTCAACATCAGACTGTAAAGCAATTGCACACTCTGTATCAGACTCAGTGATTACTGGACAACTTAACAATTTCTGTTCGGGGAAGGATTCTCCAAAAACATTGTGCTACTAGTCCTTACCAAGGAAAGGCGAGAATCATTCAAATTGATGCAAATATATGCAAATATTCTGTCAGACGGCCCAGCTTCTTCCAGTTGAGCCAACAGGTTTTCTCTCCACAGATCCTATCAGTCCTGTTGAGTTTTCCCAGCAATTTCTAATTTACAGCATCCGCAGTTCTTTGTTTTTTTTTGTTTAGGCTTTGTGTGGAATGACTACACTTGCATCCATTCTTTGGGATATAATCAAGCTGGAATGACAAATCTAGCTCAACCAAAGGAACGGCAGTCACTATACATTTTTTCAAAGAAGCATGAGCATATCTGACTCAAAGATGATCCTCGCTAAAGTCCTTTTTGAATTACAAACCACAACACAACATTTTACTATTAAATTGAAAACCTCCTCTTTGCAGTCATGTATCTGCTCACAAAATCTGGTCAGCCTCAAGCATTGAGAAAAGATAAAAGTAGGCAGTTTGGGGATTGATTGAAGTCCCCTCCCCATGCTAGGTTGATTCATGGTTAAGAAAGCATTTAGCATGCTTCCTTCAATTCTCAGACCTTTGAGTATAAGAGTTGGGACGTCCTGTTGAGGTTGTACAAGATGTTAGTGAGGCCTCTTCTGGAGTACTGTGTGGAGTTCTGGTTGCCTTGTTACAGGAAGGATATTATTAAACTGGACAGGGTTCAAAAAATATTTACCAGGATGTTGCCAGGAATGGAGGGTTTGAGATATAAAAATAGTCTGGAGACACTGGCACTTTCGCCACTGGAGCCTAGGAGGTTAAGCGGTGACTTTATGGAGGTTCATAAAATCCCGAGGGGCATAGATAAAATGAATGACAAGAGTCTTTTCCCTGGAGTGGGGGAGTTCAAAACTAAGGGGCATATTTTTAAAGTGAGAGGAGAAAGATTTAAAAAGGACATGAGATGCCAATGTTTAAACAGAGAGTGGTTCATGTGTGGAATGAACTGCCAGAGAAAGTGCTAGATGCAGACACAGTTACAACATTTAAAAGACATTTAGATATGTTCATGAATAGGAGAAGTTTGGAGGGATATAGGCCAAGCACAGGCAGGCAGGACTAGCTTAGGTTGGGAACACGGACTGGTTGGACTGAAGAGTCTGTTTCCACGCTGTATGACTCTATGACTCACTGAGCAAGCTCATTAGGTGCAATCTTAAGTACAATTGAAAGATCTTGTAGCTCCCTCTCCTGGAAAAGATCATAACTGTAATGTGGTTCAGTAAAAGTCACACAAATGCAACTCAGATGTAAATGCATTTCCGATAATGTCTAAAATTGCTGCTAATTATTCAGTTTTCACTCTACAATTTATTGCATTATGCTAGAATATGCCCTGTTCATTTTTCTACACTGTGTAACCTGATTTTAGTTCGGAGATAAAATGTTCAGCTTGGAATGACAGCTTGTAAATTATTAATAACATTTGAAAGAATAGTAAATGAAGCTATGTGATTCATTAAAGAAGATTATTTTACACAGATTAAAAAAGACTGTTAATAAGCATTTGGTGTCAGAAAATATAAGCAACGTGTAATGCAGGGCCTAAACACTGTAGCTGACAAAGATAGTATTGAGAAAGTCTATTACATGTGGACTGGTGATGGAGTTAACTGGATTAATTAGTCACCTTATTGCCTCTCAAAGAGAAAGAGCTTGTTTTGGTGCTCTTTCAATTTTGCTGACAGTGTTCTGAGAAATTTTACAATTTTACAACAAAAGCTGTTGCTGATTATTTTAGTTGGCATTTCTTGACAAAGCAAAACACTTTGTCAGGAAAGGTGACAAGGAGGTGATGGCCTAGTGGTATTATATCACTGAACTCTTAATCCAATTCTGGGGACCCGGGTTCAAATCCCACCATAGTTGAATTTGATTTGAGGGCAGCACGGCGGCTCAGTGGTTAGCACTGCTGTGTCACAGTGCCAGGGACCCGGGTTCGATTCCACTCTCGGGCAACTATCTGTGTGGAGTTTGTACATTCTCCCCGTGTCTGCGTGGGTTTCCTCTGGGTGCTCCAGTTTCCTCCCACAGTCCAAAGATGTGCAGGTTAGGTGGATTGGCCACGCTAAAATGTCTGTAGTGTTCAGGGATGTGTAGATAAGGTGGGTTATAGGGGGATGGGTCTGGGTGGGATGCTCCGAGGGCAGGTGTGGACTTGTTGGGCCGAAGGACTTGTTTCCACACTGTAGGGATTCTATGATTCTACGATAAAACTATGATAAAACTTCCAAGGCAAGTTGAGTGGGGAAGGATGACTGCTAATCCAAGTCACTGCTATGAAGAACCTCCCCAAGCCTGTTTAACATGGTTCAATGGGCAAAGCTTGTGGAGCAGGAAAGCTTTGTTGTGTTCTCAAGAAGAAAATGCTGCTGAGTATGATCAGACGTTAAAGAGTTAACTCAATCCCCATCTTCTGCATTTTCTTCAGTGCATGAGGAAAGGTGATTAATATTCACTCATGACAAACAGACTGAAATACAATCAGAGCCCAATGAATTGATTTACAGCAGAGGGCACCATAACTACAGTAACTGGCATTTACAGGATGAACACCCGGGATGATCTTCCCACTCCCCCATTTCTGAAGAAGGGTCCCGACCCGAAACGTCAATTTTCCTGCTCCTCTGATGCTGCCTGGCCTGCTGTGTTCCTCCAGCTCCGCACTGTGTTATCTCTGACTCCAGCATCGGCAGTTCTTATTATCTCCCAGGGAAGAACTTCAGGGAGTTTTGTCACTGTACATAAGGATTAACAGTAATGGAAGATTAATGATATTTTTAATTGAAACCTCATTTTGCTTGACAGATGTATTTCATAAAAGAAGCTGCTTGCTTCTTAGGAAAGTGCAACCTGATGTCTGCACTAATATGACTTTATATTAAAAAAAAGGGCTTTTTTCAAAGCTGTGATCAGTTCAGTGGGGGTAAGGTGGCAAGACCGCAAAAATCTGGGCTTCATTCCTCTGCGTTTAACCTTTTGTTTACACCGATTCACTGACATCAGAGATAGGAAGTTGGGGTGTTATAATTATGCTCAAGCCTCTGGTTTGACAAAGGGAAAATCAGCTGGTATCTCCATCTCTGGATACTTTCCAACGACATCTCCTTGAAAATAGCTCGTGTACACTGAGTCACCTCAGAATTGGGGGCTGTCATGTTCCCACAGCTCAGATTGACCAGATTTACCCATGGGATTGGCTACTCAAACAACGTACAGCCAGCTGACTAATGCTAATGGATCTTTGAAAAGTGGAGATGGGACTGCAGGAACTACAAAGAGAAGATATGCAAGAAAATAGTTCAATTTAAAACAAAGGGTTCTCGTATACAACTTTACTATTAACAGCAGTCACGGTCCAACAGTAACTGTTTCACTTTCAATCAATTTGAGTTTGATTACCCATTCCATCAGATTGGTGACTATCCTAGGAAACGGCCTTAACATTGGGTCAACATGTTTGAACCACAACTCCTTTTAGCTGAGCGTGGAGTGATATTGAGCATAACAAGAAGTGCACGGTTCAACAGATCCCACTGTCTCACTCAGGGAGCACAGTTATAGGCATAAAAAATGTTTAGCACTTGTGTAATTTAAATTGTGAGAAGAGCCAGGAGTTTCCACTGGGTGGTAGGGATCTTATGAACACTCTTTGTACGAAAAGGGTTTCCAAGCTCTTCCACCTAAGGTAACAAGGGTGGAAAGGAAGGTGTGCTGGTGGTATCTTCCTACCCCCTGAGCCAGGAGGCCTGGGTTCAAGTCCCACCTGCTCCAGATGTGTGTAATAATATCTCTGAACAGGTTGGGGATTAGAAAATATCTACAATGGTGGAAGGAGGACATTACCTGCTGAGAGTTGGATTACTCTCCCTTACCTCTTTCAGGCGCCCCTGCTCTCTCACAGTTTTCCTCAACCTTTCCACCTCCGATAAAACCTCTGTTAGATCCACTTGGACCTTCTCAGCACTGGATTCTGCGGAGACAACCTCTCTGTGCCACTTCTGAGCCTGGATTCAAAGGGACACGAAACACAGATCATAATAACTGTGTTCTATGGAATATGTGGCAATATGTTTCCTTTCTTTACATCTTATATTTCGCTGTCGTCAATCTGTACGTCTGGGCTAATGAAACAGAAAGCAAATAAATACAAGTCTCTCCCTTCTCTTGGGTGTCAATGTTTGGAAAGTTTACATTGCAGATGATCAGGCCAGGAAGACAAATTGACTATGATCCAATCTGGTTGAATAGTCCTACAAACTCAACTACAGGCCTAAACCCGGAAATGGTTGCTGACCAATTGCATGCCTCCACTGCTGGGACGGTTCAGCTCATCAAGACAATATCTCAATGTTACTGAGCCAAGAAATCCAAGTTGGAGTTCTTGGCCAAGATATTTTCCACAATGGAGTGTCTCTCCACAGTAGTAAAAGTACCAGAAGAAAACAGGAATTGTAAAATCCCACACACAAATGTGGGTTTGTGAAGCTGCCTCCACAGTAATCAGATTTTGGAGTCCTTGCAGTGTGGAACCCAGTGTATGGAGTTGAGACCAGATAAGAATAATCCTGTTTTAAGTGCATATCCTTTGGATCACCAGGATGGAGATCTGATATACCCCTGTGGATGTGACCCCATGGTGGAGGTGAGGCACACATTTAGAAAGTAAAAAGTTCATAAACTTGTCTTTCTAAAATTGTTTATGGGATATCGGCATTGCTGACTAGGTCAGCATTTATTCCCAAACCCTGATTGCCCTGGAGAAGGTGGGAGTGAGCTGTCTTCTTGAACTGCTGCAGCCTTGGGTTGTAGGCACACTCACAGTGCTTTCAGGGAGGGAGTTCCAGGACTTAGTTCCAGTGGCAGTGAGGAAATGGCAATATAATTGCAAGTCAGGATGGTGGGTGGCATGGAGGGGGAGCCTGCAGGTAGTGGTGTTCTCATGTGTCTGCTGCCCTTGCCACTGCAGCTGTAGAGGTTGTTGGTTTGGAAGGTACTGGCATAGATTTACTGCACTGCATCTTGTAGATGGCACACACTGTTGCCACCGAACATGAGCGATGAAGGAAGTGAATGTTGAAGCTGGTTGATGGGCTATCAATTAAGTGAGCTGCTTTGTCCTGGATGATGTCCATCTTCATGAGTATTGATATCCAGGCAAGTGGAGTATTTCATCATACCCCTGACTTGTACTGGGAACAAGAACTGGGCCCTAGTCTGTGCTAAGTTAACAGGTGGAAGTGAGAGAAGCATCAAAGGGCCACCCTTATACTGGGAGGATAAGACTCAGTGTGATTGTGATGTCTCCTGGTATTAAAGTTCCTGTCAATACATACTGTGTAACTTCACATTCATAAAAGCAAAACCTGCTTACATGCAGTGAAGCAACACTAGGCATACCACATCACGGCATTCAGATAAAAATTAACACAACCAAACTTTTAAATAAATGATGAGAGATTGTTTGAAGTGTTAGGTTTTATGGAATATTTTCAAATAGGAGAGACAGCAGGAAAGATTTAGAGAAGGTATGTCCATGGCAGGCAAATAGAGAGTTCCCTCTTCCTCAATCCTTCATGTGGAGCTGTGCCCCCTGAATCTACAACTTGTGGCAACAGACTTGCAAATAGTGCCAGAAAAAACTAGTTACAAAAACATAAACAAGCATATCCTTCATCTGCCTTTTCTGTCACTAGACAAGGGAAGATTAATTTTGTTTTCTTTTTATTCTGTCATGGATGTGGCATTGCTGACAAGATCCGCATTTCTGTTCCCTAATTGCCTTTGAACTGAGAGACTTGCTCAGCCACCTAAAAGCACAATTAAGACTTAACCACATTGCTTTGGGTCAGGAGCCTTATGTAGCCAGAGTGGAGTCTAGAACCAGGGGTTGCAGTTTAAGGATATGACGTAGGATGTTTAGGACTGTGAGTGAGGTGAGCCTGTGGAATTCTCTGCCATAGAAGCAGTTGAGGCCAAAACATTGAATGTTTTCAAGAAGGAATTAGGTACAGTTGTTAGGATGAAAGGTATCAAAGGCTATAGGAAGAAAGTGGGAATAAGGTATTGAGAGTTGGATGATCAGCCATGACCATACTGAATGGCAGAGCATGTTCGATGCGTCAAATGGCCTACTCCTGCTCCTATTTTCTACTTTTCAATGTTAAAGATCATTAGTGAACCAGATGGGTTTTTATGACAATTGACAATGGTGTCATGGGTCACCAATTCAGAGTCAAATTTTCAATTCCAGATTAATAAATAGAGTTTAAATTCCACCAGCCACCATTTGAACCAATGACCCTAAAGCCTTAGCCTGGCCCTTTGGATTACTGGGGCAGTGTTATCACCACTATCCTTAACATCCCTTCAAGAAAAAGAAAAGGTAGGTCAGGCAGCAGAATATTGGAAAAGTGGCCTACAAAGTAACTTGCTGTCATGGAATCAGAATCTACCTTTCTTTTAAAAGTCACTTTTGAGGCATGGGCATCGCTGCCTGGGTCAAAATTTATTGCCCATCCCAACTTTCCTTTGAAAAAATGGTGGTGAGCTGCCTTCTTGAACCACTGCAACTCATGTGCTGTAGGGAGGTCCACAATGCCATTACAGATGAAATTGCAGGATTTTGACCCAACAACGCTGAAGGGGCAGTAATATATTTCCAAGCCAGGATGGTGAGTTGCTTGGAGGGGAACTTGCAGGTGGTGGTTATCTGGGCAACGCTGCATTTGGGAATGGAGATGCAATATAGTTTAGCGATCAAAGCCTACATACTTGAGTCAGCAGCTTCCGAAAAGGAGAGGACTGAAATTTCCCCTATAGTTAGAAGTCAAAAAGTTTTACCAAAAAAAGATGATTTTCAGCCTCCTAGCAGTTAATAAAGAAGAAAAAGAATGAAGAACAATCACAACTGGAAGAAGACTAGATGGGAAATTTACTTCTCAGATACAGAGATCAGAATAAAGTACTTGGCTGAAAGGCCCTTGATTGAACTTATTTGCTTCATGAGTTTGTCTGATTTATTAATACAGGTGAAAAAGATCATTTAAGCTGGAGAGCGTTCGAAGAGATTTACCAGGATGTTGCCAGGTATGGAAGGTTTGAGTTATAAAGAAAGGCTGGAAAGACTGGGACTTTTTTCACTGGAGCATAGGAGGTTAAGAGGTGACCTTACAGAAGTTTATAAAATTATGGGAGGTATCGATAGAGTTAATGGTAGTTGTCTTTTTCCTAGAATGGGGGATTTCAAGAGCCGGGGCACATTTTTAAGTTGAGAGGAGAGAGATTTAAAAAAGACATGGGGGCAATTTTTTTATGCTGAGGGAGGTTCGCATGTGGAAAGAACTTCCTGAGGAAATGGTGGATGTGGACAATTGTAATGTTTAAAAGACATTTGGATAAGTACATGAATAGGAAAGGTTTGGAGGGATATGGGCCAAGAGCAGACAGGTGGGACTAGTTTAGTTTGTGACAATATTCGGCGTGGACTGGTTGGACCGAAGGGTCTGATTCTGTGCTGTATGACACAATACCAAAAAATATTTAAGCTTTGAGATTGGCACTGGATTTTTGGTACTAGATTTTTTAAGAAAACTGAAGTTAGAAACAAAAGGCAGTAAGTAATTATTTGGAGTGGGATAGTCAGGGGTTAATCAGATAACCGCTGCACAGATTGTCCAATTACAGTGATTTATCAATAGATTGAGCAGTCTGATGAAATGGTATAGTTATACCTCAGTTTTTGTCTTGTCCAGTTCTTCTTGTTTCAACTTCAGCTCCATTTCTGTTTTCTCAAGTAGCTTCTCAAGTGCATTGTTCCTTTCGATCAAAGTCAACTGCAGCATCTGATATTTAAGAGAATTGTTTTACAATGTTGAATAGATCAAGAAAGGGATGGAAGACTAAAAACAATAATGGATTACCTCTGTCACCGGTTTCTTAGCCAGGCTCTGTTTGCCCTGCAAAACCTGCCCTTCGTGCTTTAATTTTATGTCACCAGTTGCAGATTTCTCCTCAATATCCATCAGTTTTCTTTGTAGAATATCATAATCCAACTTCAGCTTTTTCAGGGATTGATCCTTTTCCTTTAATTGAATGCAGGTCGAGTAATTAATGACATTAAATTGGGATGGCAAGAAATAAACATAACCATCAGATCACTTCTTTATGTTTTCTTTTCACATTCCTCTAAAGTCATAAAAAATTTTAATAGTTGAGAAGAAAGTTAACAACGTGAACTACAGTAGCAATTTAAGTGATGATTAAAAGGAATGTTGTATCCGGCATTTGTAATTATTTTATTCCACGCCACTCTCATTTCCCTTACCTTAACAGTACTTTCCAACAACTTAATTTTGTCAGAATAATTAATTACTTCAAAAGCTACATCATTCGCTATTGCATTTTCTTCCAAGCATGTTTCCATAACAGTTCCAGTTTCTTCAGCAAGATAGTTTTGGCCTTTTGCATTTATTTTGCACCTCAAGCTCTGGTAGTCATTGGATCCTCCCATGGGATTAACTGTCGATGACTCTGCCAATCCGTCATTAAGTTCATCATTTTGTTCCCGCAGGTTCATGTTTTGTTGCACTTCGCAAATTCTCTCAGTCTTGTTCATCATCTTACTGTCATCTTTTTTGAAAGTAACATCTTGCACTAAATTGTTATTTTGTTGTTTTAATTCATGTTGCTTCGTTATTTCACCTGTCCCTTGGGCTTTCAGTTCTTTAACTAGACATTCCTTCAAATTTATCAAGTTGGTATTCTCATTTTCCAAATAATTTATTTTGTTTTGTGCTACACTGCTCTCCATAAAGTATGTCTCTACTTCACTTTCCAGTTTCCTGACCTGTGCTAAAAGATTTTCATTTTCTTCTGTTAAATGGTGCACAGTTTGGTGAATTATCTGTGCCTTCTCATTCTCCAGTTGGTTAATGTTTTTTAGCAGATGCTCATTTTCCTTCATCAGCTCTCCTTTCTCTTGCTTTAATCTTGTCACTGTGTTAGCAAGTGTTTTATACTCGGATTCCAGCTCTGATACTCTGTCCTTCAGCTGCTCAGTTTGTGTGCTCAAGTTCTCAATTGTTTGATTACATTCCGCTGACTTCTGTGCATTTTCTTTCCGCATGCAGCTGATTGTGTCTTCCAGTTTACTCTTCTCTTCTTTTAGCTTAGACAGTCTCTGCAAACATTCCCCATTCTTCTCTTTAAAGTCTGCCTCCAGCTCTCTTTGGTTGGATTCCAGTTTTGCTATCCCATTTAGCAGCTCTTTATTTCGTTTCTCCAAAACCTCATTTTCTTTCCTCAAGTTGTTTTTCATGGATTCTTTCTCCTGTATCTTTTCTTCTGTTATTTCCTCAAGCTTCTGAGATAATTGGTTCACTTCACTATTTGCAAGATGCAATTCATCTGCTAATTTACTTTTCTCCTCAGATACATGAAGCAACTGGCTGTTCGTACACTGCAAATGCTGACCCATATCCATCTTCTCTGTTTGAAGTTGCTGGATTTTCGCCTCAAGTTTTCTAATTGTTTCAGTCAATACCTTTGGGTCTATATCAGCAAGATCTCCTTTGATGCTGAAATGTGTCTTTGACGGTATACAAGTATTTGTGTCACTTTCAGTGAATTCTACAGTCTTCTGTACAGATGAGCAAGTTAACTCTGCACTCATGACTTTTGGACTCTCAAGTTCAAAATCTAATTGATCAGATTGTGATTCATCATTAGTGTTAACCACATGGACAAAAGCATTGCTGTATAATTCCTTGCCAATAGCTTGGTAGTTTTCACATTTCTTGATTACATGAGCTGTCTCATTGATCTCTTGCTTTTCAGCCAAAGGTGGTGATGGAGCACAATGCAACAAGTCTCCTTCTTCATGGTCCAACAACATGGCCAGTTCCTTTTGTGTCTCACGGCTCTGAAGAATTGCTCTGACCTGAAGTTAATATTATGACAAATTATGCACTGCTCTGCATATCTACATAAATTGAACATTTAGCAGCTTTTAAGTATCACAATGAACAGAAGTACACAGAACAATGAAGAGATCCAAGTGAATCTAACTTAATTTTTTTTGCCTGTCTAGATGATTTCGATTGGTTAGTTTGTGTACGTTGGTGGGTTTATTTGATGGGCAGTACTTAGCACAAGGGAAGGCCCATGGGCTGGAAACAATGATGCTTGTGCGGGTGCCACATGTCGTTGGCTACTGCAGTTTGGTGGGGGGGTTTTGGTGGAGAGTAAAAGTTGCCTGATAACAACATTATCCTGGCTGAGGGAATTGTTCCCATTGTGGGCCTGGATGGGATTGAGGGGAGAGTGAAGTAACTCCACAGAGGCCGGTATCCCATCACCAAGTCATCCTTTATTTACACGTGGAAAGCCCTTGATACTGGTCCAGCTCCCTCAGTGCCAGCTCTCAGAGTGAACAGGATGTCTGACACTTCTGTTCTTATCTGTCAGCCAGGGCTCCCTGATTGGACCGGGTTAACAGCCCTAATCAGGAACTCATATTCTTTCAGGTCCACCTGGCAGACCTTGTTACAATCACTACAGAGGGATGAAAGAAATGGGATGGGCTTGGCATGACAGGAATGGCATGGGAAGGGTGGGTGAGACAATTGTTTTGGTTAATAGTGGCAAAATGTCAGGGACAGTTATTTGATATAACAAATTATTTAAAAGTTAGTCTTTGTATTAACAATTAAGATTCACTGGACTTGAACAAAAATATTTTAGAAAAACTGCCTTTATGAGTTCATAGAATACATTAGTCTTGATTCTATTAAATCCTTCTAAATCCTCCAGAGTTTTCTATTTTGTCAAACTCCAATGGATATGCCATCAACCAAGTTTAGACACATAGAATCCCTACAGTGTGGAAGCATGCCATTCAGCCTGTTGACCTTCCAAAGAGCATCCCATCCAGGCCCACACCCCTACCCCTATCCCTGTCCCATGGCTAACCCACCTAGCCTGCATATCCCTAGACACTATGAACAATATAGCATGGCCAATCCATCTAACCTGCACATCTTTGGGCTGTGGGAGGAAACCGGACCACCTGGAGGAAATCCACGCAGACTCAGGGAAAATGTGGAAACTCCTCACAGACAGTCACTCGAGGGTAGAATTAAACCCGGGTCCCTGGCGCTGTGAAGCAGCAGTGCTAACCACTGAGCCGCTGAGCCACTCAAGGAGCATCAGTTATAATGTTACTACACAACTTGAATCCAAAGAATGGGGTTAGTTAGCTCTTTTGGCTGGAAAGCTGCTGATGCCACCTACATGGGTTCAATTCCTGCACTGGATGAGGTTACCATGAAGGACTCTCCTTTTCAACCTCTCCCCTTGCCTGAGGCATGATGGCCCTCAGGTTAAAACCACCATCAGTTGTGTGTGTGTGTGTGTGTGTGTGTGTGTGTGTGTGTGTGTCCAATGAAAGAACAGCCTTATAGTATGGTTTATCGCAAATGAAGATTGGTAGTTGGAAAGCTGTTTTCTTGGATGATACATCATTATTACATTATATAGCATTATAACAGGTGTTTTTCACACAAATAGAGTGTTTATTCCTTGAATAATATTGAAGCCATCAACATAAACCTGCCTTTTCAGCTCAGGAGAAATACATTTCCAATTAGACTTTCAAGTTCAATGACAAGAAACAATCACAAGGCCAATCTCTTCATAAAATGTGGAGTTACGTTCCTAGGCTTGTTTTTACACAGGGATAGATTTTTTTTTCCCCCAAGAGTGAGAAATTTTGATTCTACCATTTTATTCTGCTGAAATAACAATTGGAAATGTTGTTTTAGAAGTTGTTTGGTTGCGATAGTGATTCTCGTTTCACTGAAACTATAGCATTCGGCACCATTCAGTTTACACTGACATGAGAAAGCTGTCATTGTTGAATTTTATTTCACATATTTGGCATGTTTAGTGACTGGTAAGGTGAAATATGCTCGTACTGGACAACAAAAAGTTGCTCCACTTTTCTTCATCCGGTTCAACTTCCTGTACCCTCAGGTCAGATTCATATAGCACACTTAGTTATGAAGTAAAGCGATTATATAAAATAATGATGCAGTGATTGGAATTTTTTCATCTACATTTAGATTTCCATGGAGGTAGGTGTTCCTTACCTTCTCCACATCCCCAGTTCTAAGAACCTGCATTAGATCTGCCAACAGACAAGAGTTTGCTTCAAGAAATGGAATTATACGTCCTTCCTTCACAGCTGTAGATAGTTTTGGGTAATCGCAGACACTTTCAGAGGCTAGTTCTGTTGAAAAGCACACATAAAATGACAAAGATGTATTATAATTTTCGGTACCTCAAAGAAGTTATGTGTTTCATCTTTTTACCCCAAACCGGTAAGTGTGTGCTTTTTTTAAAAATCAATTGAGATCAGAGGAAACCTTAATAAATTATGTAAAAATATTAAGTTTAAATCATGATAAATTAAATCCACAGAACATCTGTATTCTAGGATTGCAAATTGGATCTAGTCAGTTTTCTCACACATTACATCAATTCCAGACAAGGAGGTTTAGTTAAAAATATCTTCATAAACAAATATATTCATTTGAAATCAGAGACTAGCGGAAATTTATCAGAAGTTTTTTTTCCTTTATTCATTAACAGGATGATGACTTCACTGGCCAGGCCCTAATTGCACAGAGGACAGTGAGAGTCAACCACATTGCAGTACGTCTGGAGTCACATGTAGGTCAGACCAGGTAAGGATGGCATTTTCCTTCCCTAAAGGACATTAATTAACCAGATGGGTTTTTTCCCCAACAATCGATTCATGGCCATCATTAGATTCTTAATTCCAAATATTTTGTTGAATTCAAATTCCACCACCTGCCATGGTGGGATTCAAACCTGGTCCCTGGAATGTTATGTGGGTCTCTGGATTAACTGTCCAGTGATAAGGCCATTGCTTCCCCTAGTTTACATCTAGTATGGCAGAGTAAGAGGTTTAATTGACAACTGAGAGATCTGCTGATGGTTCAAAGGTCATGTCTTCGTTTTTATTTCCAGTTAATACTCAACTTGAGCTGCTGAAATCTGGAGTGCACATCAAATACAGATGAAGAAAGCTCTCTTCCGATTTTTGGCATGGCTAGTCTCAGCAGTTTGTCAATCAATAAAGTGCACAGGCCACTAACAGGAACAGGAAGTGTGTGACATACTCTCTTATTTTATAATACAAGGAGCTTTATAAACATTTTACATTTATACACAAAAACAGAACAGGTCTACAGTTTACAAAGAGACCTGCCTCACCAGAACATTCATCTCCCTGAAGGAAGATACACACGTGAGAGCTCATGTGAAACTATAGCATCCAGGTGCCGCACAAAAGACCCTTCCTTTTTATGATCCCTGGGTCATGCTGTATGACTATATATTTGGGGATTGAAGGGTACCCTTACTGTAGAGGATGCAAGGTCCATTTGCAACCCAAAAGACAATCTAGTGTCCATCCAAAACCTTCAACAAGGATATACTGGGAAAATGTTGGAAAATTGATTACTTAACATTAAAAGTGAATTGCATTCAAAATAAAGAGACTTTGAGAGTAGATTTATGTAGTACATTTTGTAATATTGAAATGTTTAAGCCTCCTGAAAAATAACCTGAAATCTACTTAATAGAACTTGGCACGATGGAAAATAAGCTGATCATCATTTTATCGGAAAACAAGTCCTTGTTGAATAACTGACAATATGGCTTACATTGATTAAAGAGGTCAAGGAGGTTGACTCAAGTATATAATGTGATGTAAAAGACCTACTTGCAATGATCAAGGCCTCTTGAACACACTGCCCAATGGATGGCGTCTGAGTGTTCTTATTCCGAGCTGAATCCAGCACAGCTGCCCACTTGCTCTGCAATAACTCTTCTCGAAATAAAATGTCTCCATTCTGATTGAAACCAAAATACTTCAAAGTTAATGGATCCTCTTGGAGCAGAAGCCTTCTATGTAATCTATGAACATCTTTGTAATTAATATCTGGCATATGCCCTTGCCACAATTAAAGGTTATTTTCAACTTTGGGCTCTAAACTGGCGGATTAGATCACCAGCCCCGACACAGCCTGGAAATTAAGATCAGGCAGGTAAACCATTCTCAGTTTACTTCCTTAATAGGAAAATTATTCTCATTAAATCTGAAGATGGTAGGTTAAATCTGAAAGAAAAACAAATCAGGTCCGTAGCTTCTTTTATTGATTCAAATGACCATGGTTAACGGAGTCAATTAAGTAGAAGAGGAGGCTACCAGCTACAATGAAGATGACACAGAAACCAACACCAGAACAGCTACAAAAACAAGTACTGAGGAAGAGTCACCGGACCTGAAACGTTAACTTTTTTTTCCTTCACAAATGCTGCCAGACCTGCTGGGCTTTTCCAGCAACTTTGTTTTTGCTCCTGATTTTCAGCATCTGCAGTTCTTTTGGTTTTCACCAGAACAGCTACTCAGCCTTCTTCTAAAGTTATCAATCTTGGAGCAATACCAATCATATAACTCAGATTACATTTTCTAACCAGCTTCTACCACCAAAAAGGTTGCTTCAGCAAGTCATTCTTTATTCATTGTTAGCATGTAGATGTTATTAGCAACGTCTATCCCTATTCCATTTGGGCTGATGACAGTGAGCCCTCTTCCTTCAGTATTTTCTAGTCCATAGTGCCATGAGTAGGTGATTCTAGAATTTTGACCCAGTGATTACAAAGTAATGTGAGACGTGTCCAAGTCAGGATGATGTGACATTTGAGGGATGCTGTGATCATGTCGATCATAATCAACAACATAATTAATTTTGCTTTAACTTATGGCAAACCTACCAAAACATACATTCTTGCTCATTCAAATTGCATCCTTTATTCCTCAACTTTTCAGCTGAACTGGATCAGGCAAGAGCAAGAAAATGAGTCAGGAAGACACTTCACCGTATCATTATCAATTGTTACATTGTTCTAATTTTTGCCAGGAGTATTCCCAATACTGCAATAATAATATTCAAGTTATGGAAATAAGCCATGCATTATCCTCTCAATTACTATTAGCACTTCAAAGCTGGTTAAATCTCCTCACCCATGGTATGCATAGCATGAATCATAGAATCCTGCCAGTGTGGAAACAGGCCCTTCGGCCCAGCAAGTCCACACCGAACCTCAGAGCTACCCACTCAGACCCATCCCCCTATAAACCAATCTAATCTACACATTCCTGAACAGTACAGGCAATTTAGCATGGCCAATCCACCTAGCCTGCACATCTTTGGACTGTGGGAGGAAACTGGAGTACCCGGAGGAAACCCGAGCATCCAGAGGAAACCCACGCAGACACAGGGAGAATGTGCAAATTCCACACAGTCACCCGAGGATGGAATCGAACCTGGGTCCCTGGCGCTGTGAGGCAGCAGTGCTAACCACTGAGCCACCACACTGCCATACTCAACAGTCAACTCTCCTTGAACATCGCTGTATTGATACTAAAGAATGGGAGAAACGTGTTATAACTACCTGAAATGGTAACATTTCTCTCCTAAGCTATGTCATGCTTTGAGTCACAGTGTCTTCCTGATGAAGCAGAGAAATGACAGAGAAGGAAAACAAAGGAAGAAAATCCTACACGACATTGTGGGACTCTAGCCTCATTTCCCCAAAGAGCTGTGGGTAGCAAATGGGCCTGCACAGTTGCATGAAGACCTATGGCAGAAACCAGTGACCCTGATTAGATGAGATTCTCGAATTGACAGACAGCCATTGACCAGAGGGCACAGTATTTCAATTTTAATACACATCGGGGATTTAGACTGAATAAAGAACAGAATGCACGAATTTCGCATTTGTTTTCCATCATAAACTTCAAGAAATGTTACTTCTGGAGGTCCAGCTCTCCACTGGAGAACTGAATGTCCTGTTTGTTATTAGGAACTAAACAGAAATGTTCTATTATGAGCGTGGATTAAAACTGATCTGTAGCAGTGTGTTCCTGAAAACAACACAATGGGAAAAGTAATGTAGAGCTGATAATTAATTTATAAGCATGTCACCCGGTTAGAATGCCTGTGCAAGAATACTATATTTTGCAAAGCAGCAAGCTTACATAATGAGATGATACTATCAAATATGAAAGTTTTGATCACTAGTTTCTATAAGGAGCTACAGAGACCACTGGAAATTTCATACTTCTGGCCATCACACAAATGTATAATTGATCTAATTAACATTCACAATCTCAGATTCATTTTGTCTGCTGGGATCCCCAAGTTCTGTCTCAGCTCTCTGAAAGGACAAAGTGCCTCAGCCATCTTGTCTGCTACATAAAAGAATCTGAGGCTATAAAACCAATTTTTTCCAAAGATGCTTCTTTGGGGCAGGAATTTGTTCCAATAAACAGAAAACACTCTGATTCTACAACAGTGGAAAATATATGCTACAGGCTTCATTTGGTACTTCCATTACAAAAAAAAGTTATAAAAGGCCTTTTCTGATGAAGGGTCTAGGCCCGAAACGTCAGCCTCTCTGCTCCTACGATGCTGCTTGGCCTGCTGTGTTCATCCAGCCCTGCACCTTGTTGTCTCGGATTCTCCAGCATCTGCAGTTCCTACTATCTCTTATAAAAGGCCTGTTTTAATTCTTTGAAATATCTGGAAAAGGTCTGCGTGTTTGTTTCATGTAATCGTGCAGGGAAAATACATTACATTTAATAGTGTAATTCTATTCATTTGCCAACACTAGTATGAAGGAGTGCTTCGCAAATTCCTGTTGCTGAAGTTGAAATGCCTATTTGCTGAGCTTCATTTATTTTTTTACCTGCAGCTGGGATCGCAAGTGAGTTAAGGAGTTCTTTAGGTCTCTGTATCTGTTTGGTGAGGTTTCCTCATCCTACAAGAAGAAGGAAACATCATCAATTTAACTGCGATAATTCCAAAGCAAACTTACATCTTCAACAATCGTTTTGGCAGAACTTGGAGTGACTATAAATGCTTTGAATGTTCATTTTATCCTAACCCACTTTCAGCTTTGAATTTCGACTCATCTATTTGAAAAGCACTTCCTAAGGTTGGGGGGGGTGGTTGGGGTTCAGACCAGTTGTATAGGGAGGGGAGGGGGGTTGTCAGATGAAATTTTGGGGTTGTGAGCTCTGACACAACATTGACCACTCCAGAGGTCTGGCCAAGTTATCAGCATTATATAGCTATATTCCCACTCAATTTTCACTCAGGCACCATGACAATTTTTAAGTCGCAAAAGGGGTGACAGAGAAGAAGAGATAACGAGGTGTAGAGCTGGATGAACACAGCAGGCCAAGCAGCATCAGAGGAGCAGGAAAGCTGACGTTTCGGGTCGAGACCCTTCTTCAGAAATGGGGGACGGGAAGGGAATTCTGAAATAAATAGGCAGAGAGGGATAGAAGATGGATAAAGGAGAAGATAGGTGGAGAGGAGACAGGTCAAAGAGGCAGGGATGGAGCCAGTAAAGGTGAGTGTAGGTGGGGAGTTAGGGAGGGAATAGGTCAGTCCAGGGAGGACAGACAGGTCAAGGAGGCTGGATGAGGTTAGTGGGTGGGAGATGGGGGTGGGGCTTGAGGTGGGAGGAGGGGATAGGTGGGAGGAAGGACAGGTTAGGGAGGCGGGGACAAGCTGGGCTGGTTTTGGGATGCGGTCGGGGGAGCGGAGATTTTGAAGCTGGTGAAGTCGACATTGATACCCTTGGACTGCAGGGTTCCCAAGCGAAATATGAGATGCTGTTCCTGTAACCTTCGGGTGGCATCATTGTGGCACTGCAGGAGGCCCAGGATGGACATGTCGTCCAAGGAGTGGGAGGGGGAGTTGAAATGGTTCGCAACTGGGAGGTGTAGTTGTTTGTTGCAAACCGAGCGTAGGTGTTCCGCAAAGCGGTCCCCAAGCCTCCGCTTGGTTTCCCCGATGTAGAGGAGGCCACAACAGGAACAGCGGATACAGGATACCACATTAGCAGATGTGCAGGTGAACATCTGTTTGATGTGGAAGGTCTTCTTAGGGCCTGGGATGGGGGTGAGGGGGGAGGTGTAGGGGCAGGTGTAGCACTTCCTGCGGTTGCAGGGAAAAGTGCTAGGGGTGGTGGGGTTGGTGGGGAGCGTGGAGCGGACAAGGGAGTCACGGAGAGAGTGGTCACTCCGGAAGGCAGATAAGGGTGGGGAGGGAAAAATGTCTTTGGTAGCGGGGTCAGATTGCAGATGGCGGAAGTGTCGGAGGATGATGCGTTGGATTCGGAGGTTGGTGGGGTGGTACGTGAGGACGAGGGGGATTCTGTTTTGGTTGTTGTTGCGGGTAGGGTGTGTGAGGGATGAGTTGTGGGAAATGCGAGAGAAACGGTCGAGGGCATTTTCGACCATTGTGGAGGGGAAGTTGCGGTCCTTGAAAAACGAGGACATCTGGGATGTCCGGGAGTGGAATGCCTCATCTCAGGAGCAGATGCGGCAGATGCAAAGAAATTGGGAATAGGGGATGGCCTTTTTTCAGGAAGTTGGGTGAGAGGAGGTGTATTCTAGGTAGCTGTGGGAGTCGGTAGGCTTGAAATGGATATCGGTTTCCAGGTGGATGCCAGAGATGGAGACAGAGAGGTCCAGGAAGGAGAGACAGGTATCAGAGATGGTCCAGGTGAACTTAAGGTTGGGGTGGAAGGTGTTAGTGAAGTGGATGAACTGTTTGAGCTCCTTGTGGGAGTACGAGGCGGTGCCGATACAGTCATCGATATAACGGAGGAAGAGGTAGGGGATAGTGCCAGTGTAGCTTTGGAAGAGGGATTGTTCCACGTAACCTACAAAGGGGCAGGCATAGCTTGGGTCCATGCGGGTACCCCATGGCCACCCTCTTTGTCTGTAGGAAGTGAGAGGAATTGAAAGAGAAGTTGTTGAGGGTGAGGACGAGTTCAGCTAAGCGGATGAGGGTGTCAGTGGAGGGGGACTGGTCGGGCCTGCGGGACAGAAAGAAGCGGAGGCCTTTAGGCCATCTGCATGGGGAATGCAGGTGTATAGGGACTGGGCGTCCATGGTAAAGATGAGGTCTTGGGGACCAGGGAATTGGAAGTTTTGGAGGAGGTGGAGGGCGTGGGTGGTGTCACGGACGTAGGTAGGGAGTTCCTGGACCAAGGGGGAGAAAATGGAGTCGAGATAAGTTCGGTGGGGCAGAAGCAGGCGGAGACAATGGGTCGACCAGGGCAGTCAGGTTTGTGGATTTTGGGAAGGAGATAGAAACGGGTGGAGTTGGGGAACGATGAGGTTGGAGGCTGTGGGTGGCAGGTCACCTGAGGTGATGAGGTTGTGGATGGTTTGGGAGATGATGGTTTGGTGGTTGGGGGTGGGATCATGATCAAGGGGGCAGTAGGAGGAGGTGTCAGAGAGTTGGCGCCTGGCCTCGGCGATGTAGAGGTCAGTGCGCCATAATACAACTGCTCCTCCCTTTTCCGCGGGTTTTATGGTGAGGTTAGGGTTGGAGCAGAGGGAGCGGAGGGCTGCACGTTCTGTGGGGGTGAGGTTGGAGTGGGTGAGAGGTGTGGAGAGGTTGAGGCAATCGATGTCTTGACGGCAGTTAGAGATGAAGAAGTCGAGGGAGGGTAGGAGGTCTTGGGGTGGTGTCCAGGAGGAGGGGGTGTTTTTGAGGCGGGAGAAGGGGTCAGTAGAGGGAGGGTTAGGCTCATGGTTAAAGAAATAAGCGTGGAGGAGGAGGCGGCGGAAAAACTGCTCAATGTCCAAACGTGACCGGTATTTGTTGATCTGTGGGTGGAGGGGGACAAATGTGAGCCCTTTACTGAGGACTGACAGTTCGTCCTCAGTAAAGGGGGAGGTCTGGGGGGATGGTGAAGACTCGGCAGGGCTGGGTGCTACTGACTCCTCTGGAGCTGCTGGCTGTGGAGGCGGTGGGCGGAGCGACGTCAGCGGTGGGCTGAGCAACATAGGCCGGTAAATCTTGGATGTTGGTGGCAGTGGCGTCCTCGATGTCTGTGTCGGCATCGGAAACGGAGGCTGCGGCATCAGTAGCGGTGTCGATGGCATTGGCTGTACCGGAAGTGGCGTACCGGGCTCACCCATTCCAACCTCTTCCCCGCAGAACGTGCAGCCCTCTGCTCCCATCCCAACCTCACCATAAAACCCACGGACAAGGGAGGCGCAGTTGTAGTATGGCGCACTGACCTCTACATCGCCGAGGCCAGATGCCAACTCTCCGACACCTCCTCCTACCGCCCCCTTGATCATGACCCCACCCCCGACCACCAAACCATCATCTCCCAGACCATCCACAATCTCATCACCTCAGGTGACCTCCCACCCACAGCCTCTAACCTCATCATTCCCCAACCCCGCACTGCCTGTTTCTATCTCCTTCCCAAAATCCACAAACTTGACTGCCCTGGTCGACCCATTGTCTCCGCCTGCTCCTGCCCCACCAAACTTATCTCCAGCTATCTCGACTCCATTTTCTCCCCCTTGGTCCAGGAACTCCCTACCTACGTCCGTGACACCACCCACACCCTCCACCTCCTCCAAAACTTCCAATTCCCCTGTCCCCAACACCTCATCTTTACCATGGATGTCCAGTCCCTCTACACCTGCATTCCCCATGCAGATGGCCTAAAGGCCCTCCGCTTCTTTCTGTCCCGCAGGCCCGACCAGTCCCCCTCCACTGACACCCTCATCCGCTTAGCCGAACTCGTCCTCACCCTCAACAATTTCTCTTTCAATTCCTCCCACTTCCTACAGACAAAGAGGGTGGCCATGGGTACCCGCCTGGACCCAAGCTATGCCTGCCTCTTTGTAGGATACGTGGAACAATCCCTCTTCTGCAGCTATACTGGCCCCATCCCCCACCTCTTCCTCCGTTACATCGATGACTGTATCAACGCCGCCTCGTGCTCCCATGATGAGCTCGAACAGTTCATCCACTTCACTAACACCTTCCAGCCCAACCTTAAGTTCACCTGGACCATCTCTGATATCTCTCTCTTCTTCCCGGACCTCTCTGTCTCCATCTCTGGCATCCACCTGGAAACAGATATCCATTTCAAGCCTACCGACTCCCACAGCTACCTAGAATACACCTCTTCTCACCCACCTTCCTGAAAAAAGGCCATCCCCTATTCCCAATTTCTTCGCCTCTGCCGCATCTGCTCCCGAGCTGAGGCATTCCACTCCCGGACATCCCAGATGTCCTCGTTTTTCAAGGACCGCAACTTCCCCTCCACAGTGGTCGAAAACGCCCTTGACCGTGTCTCTCACATTTCCCACAACTCATCCCTCACACCCCCTACCCGCAACAACAACCAAAACAGAATCCCCCTCATCCTCACGTACCACCTCACCAACCTCCGGATCCAACGCATCATCCTCCGACACTTCCGCCATCTGCAATCTGATCCCACTACCAAAGACATTTTTCCCTCCCCACCCTTAATGCTTTCCGGAGGGACCATGCTCTGCGTGACTCCCTTGTCCGCTCCACACTCCCCTCCAGCCCCACCACCCCCAGCACTTTTCCCTGCAACCGCAGCAAGTTCTACACCTGCCCCTACACCTCCCCCCTCACCCCCATCCCAGGCCCTAAGAAGACCTTCCACATCAAACAGCTGTTCACCTGCACATCTGCTAACGTGGTATACTGTATCTGCTGTTCCTGTTGTGGCCTCCTCTACATCAGGGAAACCAAGCGGAGGCTTGGGGACCGCTTTGCGGAACACCTACGCTCGGTTCGCAACAAACAACTACAACTCCCAGTCGCGAACCATTTCGACTCCCCCTCCCACTCCTTGGACGACATGTCCATCCTGGGCCTCCTGCATTGCCACAATGATGCCACCCGAAAGCTGCAGGAACAGCATCTCATATTTCGCTTGGGAACCCTGCAGCCCAAGGGTATCAATGTCGACTTCACAAGCTTCAAAATCTCCGCTCCCCCGACCGCATCCCCAAACCAGCCCAGCTAGTCCCCGCCTCCCTAACCATTCCTCCTACCTCAAGCCCCACCCCCATCTCCTACCCACTAACCTCATCCCGCCTCCTTGACCTGTCCGTCCTCCCTGGACCGACCTATCCCCTCCCTAACTCCCCACCCACACTCACCTTTACTGGCTCCAACCCCGCCTCTTTGACCTGTCAGTATCCTCTTCACCTGTCTTCTCCTTTATCCATCTTCTATCCGCCTCCCCCTCTCTCCCTATTTATTTCAGAACCCCCTTCCCTTCCCCCATTTCTGAAGAAGGGTCGAGGCCCGAAACATCAGCCTTCCTGCTCCTCTGATGCTGCTTAGTCTGCTGTGTTCATCCAGTTCTGCACCTTGTTATCCCAGATTCTCTGGCATCGGCAGTTCCTACTATCTCTGACAGAGAAGAAGTTTGGGAATCTCTGTGTTAGAGACATTCCTAACAATTTAATCACATTGATAAGTACGCATGGCTCAATGACTTTTGTTTCATGTCATTTACTTTTTCAAAATACCAGATCACAAAGGACAGTATTTTAAAAACATCTATAGCGAAAACATGTGATCAACAGTATTGGTTCAATTACCATTTTGCCTCAGGTATGTTTGAGACCTGCCATTTGTATCTACTCAGATAATATCTCCATTTTATCGTGTTACATTGGGTTTCAGCAAGACAGTGTAAATCCAACAGCCACAAGTTACAGAGATAACCTTGATAGTCATCCTCAGCTGAAAATAGCACTGATAAATATAGTTGCTACCCAGCATCACTGGAATTGAGCATACAGCCTCAAATAAGACATAATTCATGCTTTATTTTCCAACTGAATTGAACTAACTTTCTGCAGAGTAATTACCAGAATCTGAGCTTACCACGTTCTGAAACATTGCACTGCAGAAGTTGCTCAGGCGCTTAGAAGTTACCTAAAGCAGAAAAATAAGAATATCAGGAATCGGCAGTAAATTGGCAGTGGTGCCATGTTTTCCCTTCAAAATCATGGCACAATATGTTTCACATTCACAAAATTGATCTTAACACATGCATAATTGCTTTAGTATGTGTTGAGATTGATCAGGTTCCTATGTCTCTTTAGATGACTATTGGATATGGACTTTTTTTTTAATCTCTTGTGAAATAAACTAAACATGACACACCTTGTGATTTTCCCTTCCACTGTCATGTGGAGATTTTGTGAACAAGACACACTAGATGTAAAGTGAATTAAAAATAATAATTATTATGCTCCAGCACTACACCTCTGAGGGAAGATGATAAGGAATTAATTTTCTTACTGCAATAACAACTTACATTTGTGTTGAGTTACGGAATCACTTATACATAGCAAGATACCATATGGGTGCTTCATTCAGAGAAGTGTGATCAAACAAAATTTGATGCTATGTCATGTGACAATATTAAGGCATTGGCCAATAAATTGCTTATGTCCTCTTTCAATAGAATGAGGTATGTTTTAAGGAGCATCCTTAAAGGAACAAAGAGAAGTCTAGAGGCATGGAGGTTCCAGGAAGGATTTCCAGACAGCAGCACCTTAGTTGATGAAGACATGGTCATCAATGGTGTGATTAAATTTCAAAATGCGCATCAGGCCCGAGTTTGAGAAGTTCTAATACCTCAAGAAGTTATAATGTGAAGGAGAGCAAGGGAGGGAGAGATTTGGGAACAGGGTGAAACAGAGGGAGGATGAAACTAGATTACTCGTCCATTGTATACAGTTCTTTTGGTAAGTTCTTTATTCTTTATTCATTCATGGGATGAGGGCGATGCTGACCAGGCAGCATTTATTGCCCATCCCTAATTACCCAGAGGGCAGTTAAGAGTCAACCACATTGCTGTGGGTCTGGAGTCACATGTAGTCCAGATCAGGTAAGGATGGCAGTTTCCTTCCCTAAAGGACATTAGTGAACCAGATGGGTTTTTCTGACAACCGCCAATGGATTCACTGTCATCATTAGATTCTTAATTTAGTTCGATCTCCGTAATTGATTCTTGTTATCTTTAAAAGAATAACATTCTACATTTGTTTTATTTTGATATTTGAAAAAATGTATTACAGTTCCATTCTATTTTTCTATCAATTATTGACTTCCTGTAAGTATTTCTTGACCTACCAGTACAGTCTTCTCAGTATTAGAAAGGAGAGAAGCATAAAGCTGGAAACAACAGACAAGTTAACTTAACAAAAACCAAAAGAACTGCAGATGCCGTAAATCAGAAACAAAAACAGAAATTGCTGGAAAAGCTCAGCAGGTCTGGCTGCATCTGTGGAGAGAAACCATAGTTAACATTTCAATTCGAGTGACCTTTCCCCAGAACTGATGGTAGCTATGAAAATGTTGGTTTATATGCAGAAGATAGGGTAGGGGGGAAAGGGGTAAAGAGTAAATGATAGATAGGGATACAGCCCAAAGAGGGGGAAGAACAATTGGACAGACAAAGGAGTAGATAATGATCTGGCTAGGAGGGTGAAAAGCTCTTAAGGGGGACTGTTAGTGACTAACAATGGGGTGAGTTTAATAGCACACTGTGATAACAAGGCCCGGTGTGTGGGGGTTGGAGTAAAGACATGGAAGAGCTTAAGTCCTAAAGTTATTGAACTCGATATTGAGTCCAGAAGGCTGCAGTGTCCCCAAGCGGAAAATCAGGGTCAATCAACCTGAAATGTTAACTCTGATTTCTCTCCACAGATGCTGCTAAGTTAGCTTAACATCTGTTTTAAGAAAAATGCTGGAATCTATTATTAACAATGTAGTAGAGTATTCAGAAAATCTCAGTGTAATCTGACAGGGTTAACAAAGCTTTGTGGATTTGACTGATTTAGAACATAGAACGTAGAACAGTAGAGCACAGTACAGGCCCTTCGGCGCACGATGTTGTGCCGACCTATTATCCTACTCTAAGATCAAACTACCCTGTATACCCTACATTTTACTATCCTCCATGTGCCTATCCAAGAGTTGCTTAAATGTCCCTAATGTATCTGACTCTACTACCACCGCTGGCAGCGCATTCCACACACCCAACACTCTCTGTGCAAAGAACCTACCTCTGACATCTCCCCTATACTTTCCTCCAATCACCTTAAAATTATGCCCCCTCGTAACAGTCATTTCCACCTTGGGAAAAAGTCTCTGGCTATCCACTCTATCAATGCCTCTCATCATCTTGTACACCTCTATCAAGTCACCTCTCATCCTTCTTCGCTCCAATGAGAAAGGCCTTAGCTTCCTCAACATTACCTTATAAGACCTGCCCTCCAGTCCAGGCAGCATCCTAGTAAATCTCCTCTGCACCCTCTCTAAAGCTTCCACATCCTTCCTATAATGAGGTGCCCAGAACTGAACACAACATACCAAGGGTTTTATAGAGCTGTAGCATAACCTCGTGGCTCTTAAACTCAATTCCCCTGCCAATGAAAGCCAACAACCATACAGTTTCTTAACAACCCTATCAACTTGGGTGGCAACTTTGAGGGATCTGTGGACGTGGACCCCAAGATCCCTCTGCTCCTCCACACTGCCAGGAAACCTGCCATTAGAAAGGAGAGAAGATTTATTAGGGCTCTTTGAGGAAGTAGCAAGTGAAGTTGATAGAAAAGGGAATCTGTGGAAGTACTGTGCTTAAAGGTCCAGAAGGCATTTGACAAGGTGCACATGAAACATTATTTCACAAAATAAGAACTTGTGGCATATGGAGATATGATTCATTAGCTAACAGAGAGTAGGCATAAATGGTCATATTCTGGCTGGCAAGATGTAACAAGTGGCAAGCCACTGGAATAGTGCTGGAGCTTTGACTACTTACAATCTGTATTAGTGATGTGGACGACAAGATCGAATGTATTGTTGTTAAGCGAGCTGATGTCCCAAGCAGTATATTAATAAAATGAAAAGAGATTACAGAGCTTGAAGGTACAGAGGGATCTGGTATATGAATCACAAAAAAAAAATTAGTATGCAGGTCCAGCAAGTAATTAGGAACAAATATGGAATATTGCTGTAAAAACTGAAAGTGCTGGAGAAGCTTGTCAGGTTCGGCTGTTCTTTGGTGAGAGAAAGAGAGTCAACATTTCAAGACCAATATGACTCTTCTTTGGATCTCCTCGTTGTTGTTTATTGCAAGAGCAACTAAATGTCAAAATTAGGGAAGTTTTGCTACAGCCATATAGGGCATTGGTGAGACCATATTAAGATTACTGTGTACAATTTTGGTCTCCTTATTTAAGAGATTGCATAATTGCTATAGAAATATTTCAGAGATGCTTCATAGAATCATACAGTACAGAACAGGCTATTCAGCCCATCAAGTCTATACGACCAAGTGTCAAGAAATCGACACGTCTCGCTTTCCAGCACTAGCCCCCATAGCCTTGAATGTTCTGACACTGCAGGTACTCATCCAAGTGCTTTTTATGTGTTGTGAGGTCACCAGCCTCAACTACACTCCCAGGCAATGCATTCTAGACCCCCACCACTGTGGGTGAAACATGTTTCCATTTGACTGATTCTGGGATATGTCTATCTAATAAGGAGAGGTTAGGGATTGGTTGGAGTTCAGAAAAATGAAAAGTAATCTTATTGAAACATATATGTTCCTGAGAGGACTTGACAGGGTGAGTGCTAAAAAAGGATGTTTCCCCTTGTGACAGAGGCTAGATCTAAAGATACAGTTTAAAAGTAAAGCGTCTCCCATTTAAGACGGAGATGAGGAGCAGTTTTTCCCTCGAGATTCTCCTCCCCAGACAGCAGTGAAGGCAGTGTTATTAATTTTTTTTAAGGCAGAGGGAGATAGATTCTTGAGTACAAAGAGAATTAAAAGCTGTTAGGGTTAAGCCAGGAAGTGGGGATGAGGTGACAAGCAGATCAGCCATGATTTTATTGAACAAAATCATGGCTCGAAAGTCCAATTAGACTACTCGTTCCTTATTTATATTTTTGCATTGTATAATTCACTTTCTGAGTTAGATGAAAATCTTGATGCACGCTAATTCTATTAGCTCATTGTGATGTACGGTTGGATTCCAGAAGTGGCTGTGGCCAGACCCTTGATGAAAGTTTTGAGAAAGCAGTCAATTAAGGGGGCACTCCTACCCCCACCCCCAATCTTTGCTTCTCTCTTGGAGCCCAGCAAATTAAGGTCAAAGGGAGGGCTATGCAGCCAGGAGAGCCAAGAGTGGCACCCAAGGTTTTTAGCAGCTGTGGGTTCCAGCACAGTGTAGGTGATGGACCAGCTTCCTGTATATCTTGGTCTTGAAATCAGCAGTACCATCACTGGGTACTGCCTTTCTCTGGGACATGTAATATATGTCCTGATCTGACGGCAAAGTTAAGGTATTGTGCTGTGTCTGAGCTGGAGAGTTTTAGTTATAGTAGGCTGGTGTCGTTTCCTCAAAGCTAGAAGACTGAGGGGGGAACACAATTGAGATGTACAATATTATGAGGGCTATAGGTAAGGTAGATAGGAAGAAACGTTTCCCATTGGTGGAGTGATCAATGTCCAGGGGAGCACAGATTTAAGGTTATAGACGGGGTTAGAGAGGATGTGAGGAAGAATTTTTTTACCCAGAGGGTGAAGGGGATCTGAAACTCACTGCCTCTAAGAAGAGTAGAGGTAGAAATCTCGTAACATTTAAGAAGGACTTAGATGCGCACTTGCAATATGTAGATATAAAGGTTATGGGCCAAATGCTGGAAAATTCGATTAGAATAATTAGGTGCTTGGTTTTGACCGGCCTAGACTTGATCGGCTAAAGGGTCTTTTTCGGAGCTGTAAGACTCTGCATCTCAAAGAAGCATGTAACATTCTCCCTCAATTTGTAAGGTGGTGTTTGGGTATTCAACAAAGCACCCCAGAATCAATCAGGCAGATCTTCTATACTTCCAAAAGGTTTTCTCAATTAGTATTCTAGCCATATGCGTGTGTGTTTCATGGTTTGCACAGCACTATGGTGGAAAGCACAGCTGTACTTTGAACTTGCCCTGGAGCATGCTGGTATTTTGACATGATTCAGTAGATCCAAGGTCATCTCCCCAATTCCAGTCACCCCCATAACAACCACAAACGTGCTTTCTGCCCACTCCCCAACACAGGAAAATCAAGGCCAATATCTTCAGTTGATGAAAGAAAATCTTTCACAAACTTGAAACACTTTTTACATAATTAAGTACTCATTGAAGCACTGTCTCTGTTATAATGAGGGAAATGTGGAAACAAATAATGGAGATGCAGCTGTCACTAGACAAGTAGTCCAGATTCCAACACCAATGTTCTGGGAATGAGTTTCAAATCTCACCATGGGAGCTGGCAGAATTCGAATTGAATTATCATAGGATATAAACCTAGTTTAGGTGATGGTGACCATGATATCTATCACTGATTGCTGTAAAACCCATCTATTTCTTTAATTTTCTTTACAGAAGGGAATTTACCATTCTTGGGCTTTTTGGGACTCCTGATTCATGGCAATACGGTTGACCCTTACCTGCCCTCTGAAATGGTTGAGGAGGCAATTCAGTTCAAGGGCAATGAGGGATGGACAATAAATGCCACCTTGGCCAGTGACACTTGCATCAAGTGAAACAATGTAGAAATATTCTATACGCAACGGGATCCCATAAGCTACGATGTGATAATGACCAAATAATCTAATTCAGTGATATTAGTTGAAGGATAAATATTGACTAGGATATTGATCTTCAGGGTAGGTGGAGTTTCCAGATACCCAGAGTTCGATGTTCTCATTTCAGTTGTCCTACAGGATGTTTTTTGAGGGATAATTATGGGTCAAGATATGATGGAAACCAACCTAATATTCCAGTAAATTGACCCTGTCAGTTGTCTCCCAGTACCGTGAGGATAAATGTTTCATACTTAACCAATACTTCTGCCCTCAGTTGGACTTCACTTCTGAAGCGAAGCTTAATCAGCAGTCATCAATTTTACAATAACCTGAACATAAAATTATCACACAGAAGATTGGATGCTCTGACCTGTGAGCAAATTGATAAAGGGTGAAGTTGGTCTGAGTCAGCAGTGAAAAAAACAGACACACAGCAAACCTGCAGCTTTTGGTGCATCAAGTCCAATATCCTTTCCTAGTGACTTTATAAGAATGGGCTTAAATTATTTTCTACCCACATTATCCTTCCTATCACTCCTGTCAAATCCAGGTAAATTATTAAGTGGGCAAGATACATGCCCAGATAAAGCCATTTTATTTACTCAGTTCCTCTTAGCAGACAGACTTAAGCGATTAAAAAAAAATCAGAAAAAAACCACACTCAAGAGATATGGTAGTGAAAAGATCTGAATTGTAAAACAAAGATTTATTCTTACCTCTAATGAAGTTTCATGTATTGGCATTTCATCAGAACTTAACTGGAGTTCACTGTTATTCTAGGATAAAAAGTAAACAGGCAGCAATTTGATGCAATTTATTTCTTTCAAGACTATAATAAATTAATCTATCACAAAATAGTTACATGTTTCAAAAATATGAACAGTCTGATTAGATTGCTTCACAGAGGAGCTTGCAGGGATGTTGAGAATTGGCTTGGCTTTCTTGCCATCAGGCCCACATCGGAATGCCACAGTGCACTGGTCCAAATGGCTGTTGCCGTTATACACTTTGGTGATGGTGAAATCAATCTATAGGTAGCTGCATTTTAGGGTAGGCAGCAGAACCAAGAAATGTGCCTGGGGCAGTGAAAGTCTAAATTTAACATTTTCATCTTCTGTGCAAATGCCTCCACGGACCCATCCTTCCCGATCTCTGTAACTTGCCACAGCCATACAACCCTTTGCGAACTCAACTGTGCTCCAATTCTGATCATTTGTGCATTCTTGAATGCTTTTGCCCACCATATGCTTTACGGCCTTACCATGTGGTGCTGTTCCTTCAATATCAATGACCTGAGCTTTAATTCAAGGCTACATTAAAGGCTCTATGAAATTATCCTCATAATTTTTTACACCAAACATTCTTTGGAAGTAGCTAAACTCCATATCCAATGCTGTTTACAATATAGAAAACATTCAATGTCATGGAAAGTACAAGATCTATCTACTCTACTCTGTCTGAGAAAATGGACATAAGATGATGACACAAATGGTAATGGTCACTTTGAAGGCCATGTCACTGGCTCCAAAATAGAAAACTTGTAGGAAAGAAAAGGTTTGCCTGCTTGAAACCATTGCTAAGGGACTTACAGCCAAATAGCCAAAGCAGGTTTTTCTAAACATTCCTGTCAGATCAGAAATTTCAAGTACATTAGTGGATAATACAAGCTTGCAAAATCAACCTCTTCCTGGTTTGACAGTTGAATGGATAACTTGTCTCTCATTTCTACAGGCTTAAGTCAGATATAACTCCGGTGTAAATGGCAAATCAGTTCCATGTTATTCAAATACATCCACCAATTTGTGGATGGATGCATCTTCCACCAGCCCTGAACTCTACGGGAATTTAATGTTCACATTAAAATGTTGTTCAGTCTGGCATATCTAACTTCCACCCCAAATAGCATCCAGCAATTCTGTTGGAAAATGCAATGATACTGACCTCTTCTCACATGCAAATTTTAATCTCTAATTCACACATTCATGCAAAATAAACCACCTCTAGGTAGGCATTACAAGAGGCAGGAGACAGCAGGAATAATACTGCAGCACGAATCATTACCATTAGGAAGGGAGATGTGGAGAGATGAAAATAATTGTGATTTTTCTGGAGTTGTAGGCTTAGTTTTAAAGAATAATCTTTCAATGTGTAAGATATCAAAAAGAATTAGGTATTTTACATTCTGCAACATTATCACTTACTAATGTCATATTATGCAGTTTATTTTTCTCCTCGACTAAACGCTCCAGTTTCTCTTTCTCTTCCAGCACTTCTTTCAGGTAATTTTCATTCTCCTGAATTTGTTTCAGTTCTGTTCTGAGCTTCTCATTTTCCTCTTCCAGTTCCTCGGCTTGTTCTTGCAGGCTGCTCTCTGATAACTTCAACTCATGGATCCGTGAACGGAAGTCTTCCAGTTTATGTGTAAGGAAGTCCTCATTGTCTTCGGCTTGCTGAAGTCTTTCCCTGAGTTGTTCCTTTTCCCGGTTAATTGCCTCTTCTTTCGCTAAAAGCTTATTTAAGTCATCCTGAAGCACAAGAATACTGTCTTTGACTTGGTCTTCTCTCTCTGACACGGAACGTGCCACATTGGCAAGTTCAATGTCATGCTCAGAAAGCTCTTTGCTTCGTTTGCTCTGTACTTTTTCCAACTTTGTGAACTTTGCCGTGACTTGCTGCAGCTCAGTTTTCAGGATAATACTGGTTGCATTTAAGTCGATCCTCTCTCTATCCAGTTTGAAGATCTGGCTGTGCAGGAACTGTTCCCGTTCCCTCAGCTTCACCATTTGCTGCTGCTGCTTTTGTTTGTAATGTTCAAAGTACTCAGATTGGTTCTTCATCTCATCCTCTTTCATCCTGAGCTGGTTCTGCAAACGCCACAGTTTTCCCTTCAGCAACTCTTCAGACTTCTCCTTTTCAGCAAGCTTTAAAGGAAGAAGAGAATAGTGAGGAGATGTAATAGAGCTCTGCAGTAACTAACCACGGGTGTCACTGTCACAACAAGTGATATAAAATGAGATCTGACCTCCACTGAAGATTATATATTGTATTTCAAATAGTCAGCATTATTCTGAAAACATTGGAAATACTATTTGGAACAGAGAACAGACTAAGCTACTCAGCTTCTTGATAAGAGATGGCATGGCCATGAGGTTACAGATTGAGTATTACAATTTGACTGATGGATCATTGCACCTTGCAGCTCTGAGCTGCTAAATCTAGGCCTTAATCAATCCCTCTTAGAACCACATGACATGATGGAGCATGTTCTTAGTGTGAAGACGTGATTTGACCTCCACAAACACTGGATGATAATCATTTCCTCTGATACTTTCTTTGAGAAGTGCATCTGTCCAGTGATTCTCTTGGCATCCCTGAGTCTTTTGATTGTTCATTCTTTACAGTAAAAGATCTAGGACAGAAAGTTCCCAAAAGTATATTTTCATTTTCCTTACCAGACCACTTTATGTTTCAATGAACAAAACATTAAATACTGAACTTCAAGGACTCACCAATACCTTTGTAATTATTTACATTTACCTTTAACATGGAGTTAAAAAACAATAACAATATAATTGAACTCTCCAGTGAGATGGTCATTGGCAACAGAAGCAAGCATGTTGACATCAAATTCATTTCTTTTCAACAGAAGCTATTCGATGCTCCTTACTATCAGTGTCCTGTCTTGTTTTGGGAAAACAAACTCAAGGAAAGCAAGCAATAAGGTAATGATAAAAAAATTAAAATATTGGAACAGCACTAATTATGTAGCACTGAAAGGATCAATTGTGATCCCCAGGTAGTTCAGTTGTTGCAAGGAACAATCATAGAACATGTACACAAAGGCAGAAGCTAAACATGGATGCTCTGACAAGGGAAGCTACATGAACGTTGGTACCATGACCTTTTCTATTAGCCTATGACCTATTAGCTAACAGTGAATTAAGATATAAACCAGCCATTGGTGAGGGAGGTCTCGTGGTGCAGTGTTGCTGACTCTGCATTGTGGAGCTCCAGTTCAAGTATTAATTTCAGTATTAATGTCACATGAGGACAAGGCTTTGCTTGGTCATAGTTCTTACTGTAACTGACCAATCCACAGTGTCAGCAACTACTGGAAAAAAATATTGGTTTATTGATCAAGTAACATACCTGCAAAAGGGAGATCTGTGGGTTCCTGAGTGTAACTAATATAACTATCTGCCGAAGCATTTTATAGATGCACCATTGAAAGTGTCCTATCTGGATGCATCATAGTTTTGTACAGCAACTGCTCTGCCCAAGACTGTAAGAAATTACTGAGAGTTGTGAACGCAGCCCCATCCGTTATGCAAACCAGCCTTCCTTCCACTGACTCCATCCACAAATCCCACTGGCCTCAGGAAAGCAGCCAACATCATCAAAGACCTCCCCCCATCCTGGTTATACTCTCATCCACCCTCTTCCATCAGGCAGAAGACACAAAAGTTTGAAAACATTTCCCAACAGATTTAAGAACAGTTTCTTCCCCACTGTTATCAGGCTTATGAATGGACCTCTAATAAATTAGAGTTGATCTCTCTCTGCACCTTCTTTGTAGCTGTGACACTATATTCTGCATTCTGTTCTATTACCCTAATGTACTTACGTAAGGTATGATTTGTCTGGTTATCTCACAAAACAATACTTTTGACTGTATCTCAGTACATGTGACAATAATAATCCAAATCAAAGCTCCTTAGGTAAAGAGAGATGTCTCCTCACCAGTCCCCTGGAATTTACTGGATCATCTCTGAGGGGGTTCAGAGAGAATCTTTCTAAGAATTTTTGTTTTTTCTAAATTAACCTAATGTTTTAATCCCTCTCTCAGGAGACTGCTGGTTCAATTGTCTTTGTAGTTGTTCTTGTTGGCGGCTGGGAAGTTGAATGGGGATCACACCATCCAGAACTTGCACCATGATTGTTTGGGACTGGCTCAAAGGGTGATTTGTTCTTTATCTTGTTCTATCATGTATGCGAACCCTCAAGGTCTATGTCCAACGTGACAGAAACATGACTTCGGTAAAGATTCGGATAATGGAGAATTGCTACAAGTCAGAGACTTCAGTGGAGCAAGAAAAATGGATGACGGGATTTACAATGAGCCTTACCAAAAATTTAAGATCCTTCTCAGAAATTTGCAGACTTCGAAGCTTTCCTGTAAGTTGTGGATCACTGGTCATTGATTGCTGTGATTTGGAAGTTAACTCATTGATTTTATCCAGAAGCCTTTGTTCTGACAGTTCCAAATCTTGAATTCTAAATAAAAGTAACCAATAGCACAGAGTCAATAAAAAGAGAACTTCTATTGAACTTTTTGTGATGGAGTATACATTGCTTGCATCAAAGGATGTCATTGCTGCTTCATTCCTCCAACAAATACAATCCAGACAGTTTTAGGCTAAAGCTCATATAATTTCCAACTTTCTTCCCTTGTAGTGAAATCCTCAATCCTCTGCAGGTACTTTCTCGTCACTTTATAAACCATTGTTACAGGAATGAAGAATTAAATATTATTAAAGGAAGAGCAGTCAGTGGCCCATTGATCATATGTGTTTCAGAGATTCCAGAAATCTGTAAATCAGAGTCTTATCATACACAGAGGCATTCTACCAATAAAAATAAGCCCTGCAAAAGCACAGCTAATTGGTTATTTTTTTCCCCAAATGACAACATTCATATGAATATAAAATGCTCCTTGCTATAAACTACTTGTTATTAACATTTGCATTGTATAATCAGGTTATGCAAAAAATCAATTTAATCCACTCAAAATTAGAACCTTTCCCATGAACCTTACTATTTTCATTGTTCCAATATTCGACATGGGGGAGGCAATAGCTTAATGGCCAAATACAGAGACCCTAGTCAATTCTGGGGACCCCAGTTCAATAGCGGAATTTGAATTCAATAAAAATTTGGAATTAGGACACAAATGATGACCACGAATCCATTGTCAATTGTCGGAAAAACCCATCTGGTTCACTAATGTCCTTTAGGAACTCCATCCTTACCTGGCCTACAATTGATTCCAGACCAACAGCAATGCGGTTGACTCTTAACTGCCCTCTGGGCAATTAAGGGTGGCTAATAAATACTAGCCCAGCCAGCAATGGGCTCATTCCGTGAATGAACAAAGAAAAGAATAAATAAATCCAATTTATTAGCACCCCACCCAACTACACCATGCAATGACCTCAACAGCTTTGAACAGAGTAGGCCTATCCTTCCTCCCCAACATTACCATACATCTTCCCTCCAGACTGATCTACTTGAAACTCAGGGAACTAAAGCTCAATGAGATGAATCCATGGGTGGATAACTTCATCCCATGACAGCAGTTCAGGTTGTCTGTGATGATTTTGCACTTCACCCTCTTATTGACCACAAGACATGACTGCAGCAATAGTCCATTTGGTCCATCAAACCCTCCAAGTGTCAGGGACCTCAGGCATTTCTTCATATTTCTCTACTGGCTGTGGACGCTGGACGGGGCTTCCAATCCAGGGACCAGATTCCAGGGAAAGGCATGCTTGTGGTCTGGCCACTGCCTGATTGGTCCATCATTCTGCAGGCGTCCCTTGGAAAATGCAATGTGGAACTGTCTCCAGCTCACCAGCCCATTACCAACACTCCCAATGTCTCACAAAGATTTTCCCGCATGGCACTGCATAATTGGTGCCCGAAAGCTGAGGGACTGTCTGGAAAGCTACCCCCTAGTCTTGCAGTAGATGGTATAATTATCCCTGTGAAATATTCAGACATTGTCCTTGAATTTTCTCTCAAGTTTCTCCCAGACTGATATGTAAACAGAGTTTCTGCCAAACCTCCACGAGAGCTATAGCAACAGCATAGGGCGAATCTCTGAGCACATTCCAGCATATAAGTTTGTTCATCTTAGCTATTTTAATGTCAACAATGGACTGATGTTATATAACACTAAAGGGGAAGTGTATTAAAATAAATGTAATTTTATTTGCGATCGTCCTCCCTTAGAACACTGACCCTGAATATCAGCAGAGCTTCAGCTGCTGTGCCACTGTAACTTCACTGGATATTTGGTGGATTAACAGATGCTGCCAGACCTGCTGAGCTTTTCTAGCAACTTCTGTTTTTGATCCTGATTTACAGCATCTGCAGTTCTTTCGGGTTTTATTTGGTGGATTAAACCTGATTTTATTCAGCTGAATGAGAGCAGGTCCAAAGACGTTATGGGTTTAAATATCAAGGGCGGCTGGGCCCTCTCAGAAATAACATTTGTGCAAAATGTTGCTGTTGTTGACTTAGATGCAAATCCTGCCTGAAATATTTCAGTGCCAGTCATGCTCTTGTCTAAACTAAATATATTAAGCACTACCTTTTGATTCAGTTGGATCTGGGGAGCACACTGGTGTTGACAGAAAAGATCTGAATAGAAAGAAAAGTTAAAAGAATGGGAAAAAAAAAACAAGAAGAAATCAGGAACTGAACAGCCTCAAATGTACTACTTCATTGCTAGTGAAGTGCCACAGGGATCAGTGCTGGGACCTTTTACAATCCATATCAATAACTTAGATAAAGGGCACAAAGTTGCTAAGTTTGCTGATGCCACAAATATACATAGCAGAGCAAGTAGTGCAGAGGATGTAAGGAGTCAGCAAAGGGTTAAATGAGTGGTCAAAAATTTGGCAGATGAACTATAATGGGGTGAAACGTGAATTTGTCCACTTTGGCAGAAAGAATAGCAAAGCAACCTATTATTTAAAGGGAGAAAGATTGTAGAACTCCACAGTATGGAGGGTTCGGGGATACTGGTACATGAATCATAAAGAGGTGCTAAAAAATGGGGATCAGTTAGCTCAGTTGGCTGGACAGCAGGCTTGTGACATAAAGAGATGCCAACAGCATGGGTTCAATTCCTGTACCAGCTGAGGTTACCATGAAGGACTCTCCTTCACTACCTCTCCCTTCACCTAAGATATTATAACCCTCAGGTTAAACCACAAGTTATCTCTCCCTAATAAGAGAGTAGCCCTGTGGCCTGGTAAGACTATGGCATCTTTACCTTTAATATCCAGGTACAATGAGTGATTGGGAAGGCCTATAGAATGCTGTCATTTATTGCAAGGGAAATGGATTATACTTCAGTGAACTTTTTGTTACAGTTTTACAAGATGTTGGTGAGATAAAACCTGGAGTCCTGTATTCTGTTTTAATCTCCTTATTGAAGAAAGGATATAACTGCATTAGAAGCAATTCAGAAAAGATGTACTGAACTGAGATGGAAGGGTTATTCTTTGAGGAAAGATTGGACAGATTGAGTGTGTATCAACTGGACTTTAGAAGAATGAGATGTGTTTTTATTAAAATATAAGATGCTGAGGGAACTTGACAGGTGCATAAGGAGAGGTTTTTCCCCTAGTGGAAGAGGCAAGAATTAGGCACCACAGTTTAAAAATAAGGGATCTTCCATTTAAGACAGTGATTAGAATTGTTCTCTCTCTTAGCGGGGTAATTGGTCTGTGGAGTTCTTTGCTCTGGAGAGCAGTAGAGGCACGGATATTGACTATTTTTAAGGCTGGGTTAGAGATTCTTCATTCAGAAAGAAGTGAATGGTTATAGGGTTAGACAGAAAAGTATAGTTGAGGCCACTATCAGATCAGCCAAATATTCTTGCTCTAAAATTGTAGGTTCCTGTGTATGTAGGTGGGAAGATTTCCTGGAATGTTGCCACAAGTGTAAGAACTACAGTGAGATGAGATAAGCATAACATAACAAACATGTTTAAGTGGAGGTTTGATCATAATGTTCAAAGCCAAGAACAGTTTCATTACATTAAGTAATAAAAAAAAAACTGTTTCCATTAGCAGAAGGGCTAGTAACCAAAAGACACAGACATAAGTTGATCAGCAAAAAAACCAGAGGGGGCTTGAGGACCATTTTGTACACACAATGTGTTGTTATGATGTGGAACACCCTGCCAAAACACTCCTAAAGGGCTAAACAGCCTTCTGCTGTGTTATATCATTCTATGATGGCAAAATGTCTGTTCCCATTATCTAGCATAAAGCAGATAAAGATCAACACACATTATCTAACCATGGACACAAGATTGTCAACTTAACTGAACGCATTATGGAACCCAGGGATTAGATGTTCCACTTCATCTGCCAATTCACCAGCCAAACAATGATGGAAATTACCACTGCTCCCACCATCCCCCCTGCCCTCAAAATATCTCAAATCTAGATTATTAAGGGGCATTTATTCAAAACAGTTCTAATCAAAATTCCTTATACCAAATAAAAATGCCAACATAATCTTGGATGCTTGAGTTTATTTATGAAAAGAACTATCTCAACAGTAAGAACATACAGAAGAATTTTTCCTACAGAGAGTAATTGTAACTGTGCTGGAGGGCAATGTGGTGGCTCAGTGGTTAGCACTGCTACCACACAGCATCAGGCGCCCAAGTTCAATCCCACCCTCTGGTGACTGTCCATGTGGAGTTTGCACACTCTCCCCGTGTCTGTGTGGGTTTCCTCTGGGTGCTCCCGTTTTCTCCTACAGTCCAAAGATGCGCAGGACTGGCCATGGGAAATGCAGGGTTATAGGGATAGGGTAGGGGGATGGGTCTGGTTGGAATGCTCTTCAGAGGGCTGATGTAGACTCACGGGCCGAATAGCCTACTTCTACACTGTGGGGATTATATGATTCTATGAAAAATGTGATTGCACAATATCCATTACTCAGGCACCAGACAGCCACATAGGTCTCCACAAGCAAAAACCGCCTTTTTCTTCAAATGAGAAGTGCATCACACACCATGTTGACTTGGGCTCCTCAGCAAGCATCAAAAAGCATGCTAGAAATATTTAAAGCAACTAATAACTTCTGTAATTAAGTGTCTTACTCTTGTTTGTTGTGTCAATACTAAGCATGCCATATGGTAAGCTCGCTCAGCAACTTCTGACACCAATTGGCTGGAAGGTCAATTTTGCCAGCACTCATGCAGCAATTAGAGCCTGGGCTGCTGGTGTTTTGTGGCCCTGCTTTCCAGCCTCAAACAACCAGTTTTCTTCCTTCCTGCGTACTATCTCCAAAGTAGCAACTGAGGAACTGAGCACCCAGTCGCAGGACTTGCCATTTTTCCCTGTTGTCTGCAAACAGAGGACACCCACATTTTCAGAGCAGCCCATTACCTTCAGATGATCTCAGAGACACCCAATATCCATATCAAAAATGTTCAGCCAATGGATAGCACTGGCTGCAAGCATAATGATAATGGCAGGACTGACTGGGACAATACCAACAGGTCATTTGCTCAACTCGCGAATAAGATCCTCAAATTTCTCTACTTACAATATGTGTTAATGATTTAGATGAGGGAACAAAATGTAATATCTCAACATTTGCAGATGACACAAAGCTGGGTGGAAAGGTGAGCTGTGAGGAGGATGCAGAAATATTGTAGTATGATTGGACAGGCTGAGTGAGTGGGCAAATGCATGGCAGATGCAGTATAATACGGATAAATATGGATATCCACTCTGGTACCAAAATCAGGATGGCAAATTATTATTTGAATGGCTGTAAATTGAGAAGGGGGACCATTCAACAGGATCTGTGTGTCCTAGTGCACTAGTTGCCAAAAGTAAGTATGCAGGTGCAGCAGGCAGTCAAGAATGCAAACGGTATGTTGGCCTTCATAGCAAGAAGATACAAGTACTGGAAGAGTGATGTTTTGCTGCAATTGTACTGGTACTGGTGAGGCCACATCTGAAATATTGTGTGCAGTTCTCACATCTGAGAAAGGATGTTTTTGTCACAGAGGGAGTGCAGCGAAGGTTTACCAAATTGATTCCTGTGATGGCAGGTCTGACGAATGAGGAGAGATTAAGGATCATACTTACTGGGGTTTAGAAGAATGAGAGGGGATCTCATAAAAACTAAAATATTCTAATAGGACTAACAGGTTAGATGCAAGAAGGCGTGGAAGTCCAGAACCAGGGGTCATAGTTTAAGGATAAGAGGTAAACCCTTTTGGACTATGATGAGGAAAAATTTCTTCATCCAAAGCATCCGTAGAATTCACCGCCACAGGGAGTAGTTGGGGCCAAAACAATTTGGTTTGCTGCACTCCCTCTGTAATAAGAGCATCCCTTCTCTGATGTGAGAACTGCACACAATATTTCAGATGTGGCCTCACCAGTGCCAGTACAATTGCAGCAAAACATCACTCTTCCAGTACTTGTATCCTCTCGCTATGAAGGCCAACATACTGTTTGCATTCTTGACCTGCCTGATGCACCTGCACGCTTACTTTCAGCAACACTGTTTTCAAGAAGGAGGTAGATATAGCTGTTTTGGTAAACAGATTAAGAGTATTGGGAGAAGGGTGAGATTAGGGCATTGAGCTCGATGATCAACCATGATCATATCGAATGGTGGAGCAGGATCGAGGAGTTGAATGGCCTACTCCTGCTACTGCCTTGAGACCGCCATACCTTGTATGTACACCTTTTTGATCAGGACTCAAATTCTGTGCTTGTTTTTTAGCCAAATTTTTCTTTTCCATTTTTATCCTGCCATTTAGTTTTCTTACAGTATTATTCGATGTATCCGTTTGTGAATATTGGCTCCTCTTCTTTCTCTCTCTAACTACAAGAAACAATTCTAGTGATAGCTTATCGCTCTTAAGTTATAGCTATTCATTTTGAAACTCAAAATGTGTTACACACATTTTTAAATAGCAGCTGACACTAGGTTAGATCAGACAATGCTACAACCTGTGCATGATTCACAGTGGTTTGATTATTAGTTCTTTAATTTGTATAATCAAAAAAACAGATTATTGAATCACACAGAAGGAAGTCATTCAGCTCTTTATACCTATACAGGTTCATTGAAGTAGATAGTGAGTCTACTCTGCTAACCCCTAACTCAACAAATCTTGTTATTGTTAGTTATGTTACATTAAAACTCTTCATCGAGCAACTCATTTGGTTGTGAACAGAGAACAGCATTTGTGACAGCGCTTTGTGCATCACATCATATTCCATGTAAATTCCTTTGTTCAGAGCTATTGGTCAGTGTAAACACACTTTGGGAAATCACTCATTTCAATTCCACTCCTGACCTGCCACATAAAGGTAGCCATACAAGTGGAAGATGTAATCGGTATTCATTTACCTGATACCACCAGCCTTAATTAACACTTCTCTTCTTCATTCAGGTAAACCACAGTAGCTGAAGCTCGAGAGATTCTCTCGATGGTACAGCATTGCTTTTCTGTCAGCTTCCTTTTCCCTTTCTATAGTCCCTTAATCTGAAACAGTTTGAAGGTATCGAATGTGCAAGAGAAACAGAATTAGTGCCGCTGCCTGCTGCATTTCCCTACCTTCTTTGTAAAGCAGCTTCTGTCTTTGTGAAGTTGTCAATGGTTTGCTTGAGTATCTCCTCGGACTGCGTGAGTTCTTCCAACCTCTGGTTGAGGACATCCATTTCACGCTTATTATTCTCCCACTCAGTGCGTTTTGTCCCGTCTTTCTTCGTCTCCTCTAGATCCTGCAATTGCCAGGAGGTACCAATGGTGACATTAACATTCAGTACATCGGTTCCCTCTTTCCAGGGTGAGATGATATAATTAATCTCCTTCACGTTATCACCCAGGGACTCCATTTATAGGGAATAAAAAACAATTCTGCATTTCATGCCACTGGGACCAATTGAACCCTAGAGTTATATTGTTGCTGTAAACATTTCCATCTCTAAACAGTGCAGATATTTTCACATTGAAACAGCCTCTGTTGTTTTGACTGTGGTAACCTACTGCTCAAATGGCATTGTCACAATGTGCTGAAGAGGTATTTACTTATTCATGATGAAAGGCGCGTTCTATTCGCTCTACTGGACAAGTTGGCATGTAATATTCATGAAATGCTCTGATATTACAGCTACAGAGAACTTCAAACAATGATATCATACAGGAGGCCTTTCATTGCATTTTCATGAATGCTTTCAACTGTCTCAACTCTACAAACAAATCTAGTCTGTAAAAAAAAGGATAGCCTGTAAAACCAAATCTAACAGGAATAGTATATTGAAAATGTTTCTCTGAGCCGTAATTTAGGTACAGTTCATGTCAATGATTTTAATATTCAGTTGAGCTTTTTTGATCTTTTCTGTCATGTTTTGTGCACTAAGAATTCAAGTGCTAGAGTGAAGGCAAAAAAAAAAAAATCGAAAAAACATGTAATATTAGGGGTAATCTGTTCTCACTGTCTGTACAAACACAGCTTGGATCCTCATTCACAGTTTACCAACATGTTGCCCTCCCATTCAGCTTCACAGACAGGCCTCCACACTGTAGGCCAAAGCTTTGTCAGAAAACAGAACTGGATGTAGGAATGGAATTCTGATCAGGTCAAAGTTTGACTCAAATTATGAACTCCTACTGAAACTGTTCTCTGGCACTGATTACTCAAAGTCACAAAATTTTGCACCTACCTGTTCTAAACCTTGAATTCTCACCAGCAGTACTGAGTGCTCCTCCTGCAGCATTTTTAAAGCTGCTTCTTTAGTGTGCAGCTGTCCCTTTAAGTTGAGGGAGATTTGGCTTTCCTCTTTGATCATAGTCTCCAGTGAAATCACTGACTGAGACCATTTAGCAAGTTCAGCTTCCAATGCTGCCTTCTCTTGCCGCATGGTAGTTTCAACATTTCTTATTCCACTTTGCTTTTCTTCCAATGCCTCCTCAAGTTTTCTCTGAAGGTTCTTAACATTTGCCTCAGAAATTTCAAATTCTTTCATCCTTTTTTTCAACTGCATTTCAACGTTTTGTTTCGCTGCTCGACAGACAGACTCTTTGAACTCAAGCTCTTCAATCTTTTTGTTCAGCTCTGCTGTTACATTTGCTAGTTCTTTCTTCTTCAAAAGGCCAAGCTCTTCAAACTCGCTGATTTTCTTTTGTAGTTGCACCTCCAAGTTGGTTTTGGTAATTTCCAAGTCTTTTATCTTATCTCTCTGGCATTTTGTTTCAAATTTCACTTCCCTTTCAAATTTTTCAAGGTTGGAGCACTTGGTTCTCCAGCAATGTAATTCTTCACTCATGCCACGTTGTTTGACACCCAGTTCTTCATTACGTTGTGCTAGCCTTCTTTCAGTCTCTTCCATTTCTTTTAATAAAGTCTCCTGTTTCCCAATCCTTGCCTGTAATGTCTCCACAGTTTCTTCCTTCATACTGATCAGCTTTTCCATGCGAGCTATCTTTTCTTGTAGGACCTTGGTCTCCCCTTCCTTCGTCTCTTCCACCAACTCTTCCAGCATCTTGGTTCTTTCTTGCAGCTTCCTTTCAGCTTCTTTTTGCTGCCAATGTTGCTCTCGCAACTGTCCAATTTCTTCGTTCAAACATTCAATTTCGTCCTTGCAGTCTTCTAGCTCTTTGCTTTTCTCGTTCACCTCCATTTCAAACCTGCTTCTCATCTTCACAATGAACCCTGCCTTATCGATTTCAGCATCAGCCTTTCTGCTTAGCTCCGCTTCGAGTTGTTTCTTCTCCTTAAGGATCTCTGGAGCAATGTGCTGTCTCTCATGAAGTTGGCTCTCTGCATCCTTGATGCTTTTCTTGAGTTCTTCCACCACTTGCAGGGTCTTTTTTAAGGTTTCGTCTTTCTCTTCAAGCTGTTTTCTAAGACTCTTTATTTTGCCATTTTGCTTACTTTCTACTCGTTTAAACTGCTCTTTCAGCTGTTGCTCAAAATTTTCCCAATCTCGGATAGTTTTTTCCAGATCTGAGCACTGCTTTTTCAATTTTAATTCATTATCCACCCTCTCTTCCAGGTCCATCTTGAATTTGGCAACCTTTGACTCAAGACTAGTTTTGGACTCTTCCATTTCCCCGACTTTCAGAAGCAAATCTTTGTAAATCGCCTCAAGCTGGGAATGGGCTTCATCCCGCTCCTTGATCTCATCAATTAACATTTTGATTTGCTCTTGGTAATCTTCCTCAGACTTTTCTTTTTCTTTCTGTAGCTGCTCCACTTGACTGTACCTCTCCTCTAACTTGCTTTCCACATCTTCTTTCTCCTTTGTCAACTGGTCCAATTTGTCACAGCGTAAACCAAGCAGCCTCTGATTCTCCTGGCTACGCAAAAGTTCCCCTTGAAGCTCTTTGACTGTTTCTGTTAACTCCTTCTCACTCATTTCCTGTATCTTCAAAAGTCCTTCTAAACTTTTGACTCTTTGAAGTAGCTCTGCTTTGGCACTATGTTTCACTTCAGATTCATCTTCACTGCTGAGAGAATCCAATGATTCCAGTTCCCTCACAGAAGCTAGTTTGCCTTTAAGGGCATCACATTCAAATTGAAGTTGATGATATGAAAGCTCCATCTCATTGAGCTTCTTCCTCAAGGTCTTGGATTCGTCTGTCCTATCCTCCAGCATAACTTCACACTCTCTTAATTTCTCTTCTAAAATCTGCTGATTGTCAACAGCCTTATTTCCTTTGAATTCCGGCTCTGCTAAGCTTTCGGAACCCTGTAGTTTTAAGATATAAGCTTCAAGTTCCGCTATTCTATAACCTTGGTGTTTGTTTTCATTGTCTAATTTTATCAGTTGCTCTGGTAATGTTTCATTATCTGTATTTGTTGACAACTCCCCTGGAAAAGACACAAAATGTTCTCTTTTCTTAGGTTCTGTGGGAGTAATCAGTTTGCTGTGTTGCTCCTCTGAAATATGTGGCTCCTCTAATTGCACCCTGGTGTTTTCCTCAGCATCTTGCTCTTTGTCTGCATCACTCTGCACTTTTCTGAGTTTGCTCCCCATCATTTCTGAAACATTCAGGGGTTTTAATTCTCCTCTAATTCTAGATTAATTAAAAACAAATTGATGTTGAAAAGATCTTTCTCCTCAGTAAATACATATATCTTGGAAAATTTTGAATGGCATCTTCCAATGTAGACGTAGCATGTGCACGTAGGTCTGCTTGTGTTCTAGTTTGTCTTTAGTCGAAGCTCGGAATTTAGTCAATGCCTTCACGTCAATGTATTCTTTTTGCTTTGTACACTTTGAAATTTTCTCTGTCGGCTTATTTTTATCTTCTGTGAGTTCTCTTGAAGTCTAGGAACAAACGGAAAAGTGCAGATCAAAAGGAAAATTAAATGGAGGTCAATCATTAAAAATTTCTACTTTCTTATAAAGCTATATAGGTGCTTTTATTTCTCTTTAGGATCAATTCTATGGCCCATTGTCATTGATGTTTCTCCTCTATACCTATGAATGCCATTAATCCATGCTAGGTCGCTAGGTATCCTTCAAACACAATGGGCTAAATGGCCTCTAGCCACATCATAATAACTCTGTGATATGTTCACTTATTCTTTAAACGTGGACACAGAGCTATTCAACCGTAGGATTTCTCACTGATTAACCTGTTCCTGTCTTGCCCTCTATTGAGTAGAAATTATTGGAGTCTGCTGAAATGGTAAAAGGTGTAGGCCAGGCCTGAATGACCATGGGGCAGACTACATGTATGTCCCCAGTCAGCAGGGGACCTGTCCCCCTTTAGTTCATGGGAATAAAAGGTAACTAGCAGCAGGCAGATAACTGGCTTGTTTAAAAATCACTTAATTCAAATTATTCTGAAGCCCACTGGGAGTTAATATTGCTTCAGGGATTAAATACAAATTGCATGGGTCTCCCATGTTTCTGGAAAGCTGCCCAGGGAAAACCTGTCGGGCTTGGCAGTGGCATACCCACTAAAAGCAAAGCCCTGCCCTTGGTTCTGACCTCTCTCCCTGCCTTATCAGCAAGACCTTCCCAACAACACCATCCCCCCCATTTACCCCTCCAGGAATTCAATAATGAATCCTGGTGAAGGCCCCATTGCATTACCATGTATGGCTATTGCACCTCATGGCACTAAAGAGCTGACAGCTTCTGATTCACCAGCAGGTTTTGGGGTTTGAGAGGGATTGTGGAATTATGTATGGCCAGAAACTTAATCTGACTGGAGGCTGCAGATTGTCCAGGAAAGTGCTGGCTTATCTGAAAATTGAGTTGGGCCTCTCAGTGATAAGCCAGACACAGTTCCCAGCAGATCTCCCAACTGCTGGATAGGACCTCTGTTGCCAAAACTGGATTCCACCCATTGTGTACTACTGGGCATCACATTTTATGGATGGATATCAACACTTTGAAGAAATGCTCACAGGAGATTTACTGACATGATACAACAGATGACGGTTCCAATTAAGTGGAGATAAACTCTGTTCTAAGAACAGAGATCCAAATTTAAGCTGAAATTTAATGTGGACCTTCATAATTATGAAGGGATTGATAAATTAGGAAAAATTATACCTATTGGCAGTGGGGTTGGATACAAATTGAACGCAGATTTAAGATTACAGGGGAAAAGAACCAGAGCGATGATGATGAAGAAGAGTCACTTCTGATGCAGCAAGTTGTTTTTACCTACAATGCAATGCCTCAAGGGTGCTTGAAGCAGCTGCAGTATTGGCTTCAAAGGATTATGGGGAATGCAGGAGAAGGGGACTAACTGGAAAACCCGGTTCAGAGCTCTATACAGGATTCTATAAATCTACTTTCCATAATGTAAGTAGCATTAAAATATATGGCCTGTCACCCCATCTATAAGAAGAATTGTTGTATTCTCTCTGCTATGTCATTACAGGTGGGTATTAATGAATTCATAACATACAAATTTGCCCCCAAACCATGAGAATGACTTATATTCCTTCTTCTATAGCACAATAAGGAATATTAATATAAAGTGACAACTTCCGCTACTCACAAAAAAGAATTAAAAATACATTGAATTGAAAGTGCCACATATTTATCTTCAACTTAGTAATATCAAATCTTTCCTGTAATAAATGCCAACAGAGCTGCTTGTTTATTAATTAATAATGAGCTTCATTTCCCTAGCCTAAAAATAGCTACAGCTTACCAAAAGAAGCCCTAAAATGTATCCGCCCACAACACTAGGAGAGGAGCCAGGAGGGGATATGGAGATCAAAGAAACTTATAGGGTCAGGGATGGGAGGCCAGTGAACATAAATAAAGGACCTCAAACATTTTCTCGTTTGATTGACGACTGGCAGTTGTCCCAAGCACTTATTGACAGAGTTTAACAACAGGAAAGTGAACATCTAATGGGGCGGAGTAGAAGAGGGAGATCATGATTCGGGAGAAGGAGGAGGACAAAGGTCTCCTTACGGGACTGATGGGAGCAGTCCTGTTCCTCTTGGTCTGTGAGGATTGCTGGAAAAGGTTCATCCTTCATACAGTCCCACCTTCCTGCTGGGTTACCTAACCACTTGGAATCCCAAGCAACAGGAATGAATTTTAAACTGAGCTTGTTGTGGAACTCTGACTAAAATGTCACAAATATTCCACTCCTCCACAGTGGGGCATTTCAATGTATGAACATTGATCGATATAAAATGGAAAGGTAGCAGGCACTGTGCGCACCGTGTATCCAGTATTTAGGTTTGTAACTCCCCTGCTCAAGCCCTTGATGCTAGAATTAATATTAAGTCAAAGTAGCTATTTTGGAAGACTCCTTAATATAGATAGAGTCATAGAGATATACAACATTGAAACAGACCCTTCAGTCCAACTCATTCATGCCAACCAGATGTCCGATGTAAACCTAGTCCCATTTGTCAGCATTTGGCCCATATCCTTCTAAACCCTCCCTATTCATATACCCATCCAAATACTTTTAAATATTGTAATCGTACCAGCCTCCACCCCATCCTCTGGCAGCTCATCCACATTGCATTTTAATAAACTTTTCACAGCCGTGTTATTCAATAAAATAATGTATGTGTATTGCTGATTTGATCAAAAAGATTTATTTTAATTCAAACAAAACTGAGTCAGATATTTTAAAATCAGTCACTTACTAATCGAACATGTTGAAATTGGGCAATATAATGAGCTTATCCTGGAACTGATCAATGTCAGTTGTCCATTCTAATGTTCAGCAAGTCTGCCTTTACATAGCGTATTTGATATTCTGTTGAATATCTTACTGTCTATAAAATAGTTCAAACTTAATTCATTGTAGATTCAGGACATCAGCTTAATGAGAGGTCAATGCCCTAGTTCAGTTCGACCAGATACATCCCAGCAACTCCCCTTAGGTATCAAATAATAGGCATTGCTCACTAACCTGTGTTCCAGGAGACCGGCCGTCAGGGCCAGAGGATAAAAGCTAAAGAGAAAAACAGAAACAGAAACAAAAACTGAAAACATAAAAATCAAACCGAAAGTAAAAGGAGACAAGGTAACAAGTGGGAGGAGAAAAAGAAAAGCAAAAAGAGGTTTAAAGAAGAAAAACATATTAGCACAAGATGAAAGTTTGCTGATGTGTGCACATAAATGTGCTTGTCATCTGCAAAATTGTAAGTTGACACATTACTGATCTACCCATAATTAAATGACAAAAAAAATCAACTTTTAAACTTACAATTACTTTTTTTAGATTTAGTTTATGACACCAAATCTCACCTTCTCTTCTATTTCTTTGATTTGTCTCTTCTGAATTTCTATCTTATCTTCCAATTCTTTAATTCGCTGCAGGAGAAAAGACCACAGACTGTTAGAGACCAAACAAAAACATATGCGCAAACACTGTTCTAGTAATGATCATAGGCTGTACCAATTTCTGGAATTGTTTCCAGAACTTTGTGGGCAGAAATATGATGTATATTTATTAATATTTAAACAGAATTACATTTCAGTTTTCTTGTTTTATTTTGAAACTAATTGTTAAGTGATTGGTAAACTTCTTGCTGATAAAATATAAATCAATTTAAATAGGTTCTTTTACTCTGGATGCTAAGGGGAGCAGTACTATTTTCAAGGCATACAGTCATTCTCCAGTAAGCATTTAGAAGCACTACAGGGGTCAGTCAATTTGCTAAGTGTTCCATAACTCTTGAACAATTTACTTTGTCAATCAAGAGCCAGTATGCAGACTACGTCGTTAATGATAACCAGCTATACCCTCTCTGTGAAGCAGGCCTGAAAAGGCGACAATACTGAGTTACCAGAATCATTGCACAATGTTACGACAAACGGAGATTAAAAGCTCAGTTGCTAATCTTTGTGAGGACAAAGGCCACTAGTCTCACCAGCTGCTTAGCTACTGACTACTCAAGTGTTAAAACAACCGCAAGTGGAGATCTAAGTGCATGCACCATCGTCCGGGACAAATTCTGGTTTTACAAACAAACAAAATAAATGTAATATTTTACAAAGATGCAAGCTGCATTTTCCTTTGAAGGAGCCTCTCTATTGTTCAAGAACAAAGCTGATTGCTCTCTGTCAAAGCAGTTAAAGCGACCAACCTTTCTTCAGTGGTATTTTTTCCCCGTCACCTCAATGCCTTTCCTTGAATGGTCATTTTGTTTGAAGAGGCACAAGCACAAACAAATTCCCAATATGCCTCCAGACCAGGAAGCTCATGTGCACACAGTTACCATAGGAACACAAGCTTAGAGGAATAGTAAACCAATGATTCTCTCAATCATTGTACGTTAGAGAGCTCATTTTCATTATTACTTCAAGTAAGATCAGAGAAAAGAAATTGCCCAGCTCATCTCTGGAAGAAAGGTTGCTTTATAGCCTGAGACACTCAGAACCTCTGAGCAAGTAAAATTAAAAAAATCAAAACCAATGAGAACTGCAAATCCCAAAGTTTAAATACAATGTGTTTAAATATGGCTTTAATATTATAGATACATAATGTCAAGATTTGTGCTAAGGTGAAACAATATTTATGTACTGTCTTTCAATAAAGATTTGCTTTCCCCCATGTTCAGATGTTTTGGAACAGTAATATAATGAATTGTTCTGTGTAAACAGTTGAGCCATTAATTTTTCAAA